ACCATAACCACAACCTACGTTTGAGGACAGTTAAAGCACAATTTATAGTTGTGCATCAAAGCTAAGACAACACAGGGTTTCCTGGAGGTGGAGACAGTTGTATCTGCTGAGACTTTACACATGTTAATGACTGCTCTGGTCTAAGGTAGAAATCGCATTCAATTACACAAAGACAGACTGAGAGAAATCTTTCCACAATATACATTTCCATCACAAAGATGAAAAAATGTACCCCATTTTCTGTTTATGTATAAGTAACAGTTCTTCTGCTGCTATTGTCTGATGATGCTTAGTAGTATGTGTATGTCTATATGTATGTACTATTAAAGTATTGTAGCCTTTTTTGGTACTTTCTTGCCTCATTTTTCAAATAGTGTCACATTTAACCTTCGAATACCTTTCATAAATTGCTTGCTTCACCCATTTTATCATTTTACTTGGTTGTGTTTCTTAATTTGAAAATTGTCAAACACCATCATCCCTTCTCACTCACTTCCTGCTTCTTTTGCTGCAGCAACCATGGCAACAGATGCCACGGAAACCCAGAGTGACATGAGTTTAGAGGTAACCCAACCCAAGGGCCCAGGTAAATAGGAAAACGAGTGCTTTTTCATCTTAAAGTGACAGTTCAGGATTTGATTTAAGCCCTATATGTATGAGAGGACTGTCCCTTTAAGGAATGCATGGTGTGTGCTGATTGGTTTGAGTTTGACGATATATAAATTGTGTGCTGTGGTTTTGCTTTGTTGCAACAATTCAGAATTTGCTATATTTGTCAAAAGTAGTGATCAAAAGTTATTCCTCACATACTTTATACATTCTGAGCATCCTAATTATTCACCTTGATAAGTTTATAAATGCTTTTCACAATTCACAGAGACCAGTACTGAGTTGTGAGGGTAAACTTAACAACATCTTGCGTGCTAAAACACACTTCCTGATTATTGGACAATAATGCGTTCTAATTAGATTCAGGCTCATGGGAAAAATACAAGGGAAATATGGGGTAGATTGAGGACCTTTAATATATCAAGAGCTTGTATTTATTGACCTTTGTATAATGACTTTTCAAATAAACATAATTAATTCTAATAGTCTTACTATCATCTACAGAGCATGGGATAGTGTTGTCACATCTCAGAGACATTTTTCATTAAGCCTCTTATTAAACCAGAGGGATTTTAAGATTCTAAATGCTACATTTTAGCCAAGCAGGCCGCCACCTAGTGCCTCTGCTCAGTTAAAAATCAAAAAACCAGTTAGCCCCATTTGCGGCGCATTACATACGACCAAATAGCAGCGATTGAAAGTACCTGCCTACCGTTAAGTGAACGAATTCTAATGTTGCGAGGTCAGACGGTTTCCACAAAGTGAAACCGGTTGATGAATCAGGCTAACTATGTTTAGCATTCATTCAAAAATATTGTGACACTATGAAATGATACATGTATTTTCTTGTAGTCATCCAACAGCTCATCGAGTACTTGACAGTACTCTGCAGAGTACTTACAGTACTAACAGTACTAAGATTTCTTTTTTCTTTCTCCACCAGATCAACAGTTTACCAAAACATCTGACATAATAATAATAATACTTTATGATTTACTAGTACTTACATTGGGTCATGTGTTTTGGTCCATAGAGAGTCCATATGAAGTCGACGCATGTTTTAGATTTCGACTGCAACCCCTGACATCTCCGTGTGGTGTATGTAATCTGTTATAGGCGTGTTCACTTCAAAAGGCCTTAATGTGATCCAGTCTCCTGTGTCTCTTCTGATTCTGCTTTGGTGCAAGTTTTGCTCACACCACATGTTAAGATCACCTTTTCACATGGTCTGCATAAAAAACAGGTGCGTTTTCAGGACTAAAGCAGTTCAAAAGTGTAAGAGAAGCAGACGGGAGGAGCAGACACAGCAGTTAAACAGAGTGATGTGCCATGGCTCCAAAAGTGCCCTGTCCTGTTTCATGCATGAGTGTGTGAGAGCGCCCAGAGCAAAGCATTATGGGATGGTACAAGTGCAAAGGCTGCGAGAGCATCAGTGCAACATCACATTCTGTTGCCAGTGCACTCTGTTACCTAACATACACTGTAAAATATGACCTAAAAGTTTGTATTTTTTATAAAGATAAAACTGTTGCTGCATCATTATTAAATTTATTCATGCTGTCCAGTCAGTAAGTCAAAATGATGGTGCTATTTGAAAGACTACTTAAACTGCTCTTGGACATCTTAGCCGTGGTATTTCACATTGCTCAGAGTTGAATTTGGATCTAACGAGTTTGCCGTGGCATCGTGGATCTTTCCTGCTAATTTTTTTTTCACTTGGAATTTTGACTTTTGAATTTGAGGGCTTGAAAATAGGTGTGCTGAATATTTAAAAGGTGATTTCAGCAACTAAAATTCTGGATAAATTCAGTTCAATTCATTATTGTCAAATTTCCAAATGAACAATTGGAATTATGTTCTCACTCTCAATGTTCTAAATTAAAGAATAATAATAAAATAAAAGGAAAGTCCAATGTTTTTCTTTAGGGAGATACAGATTCCTGCTTCCTGGCTGTCTGGTGGTTAGAGAGGGGAAAAGTTCAGCATCCTAACAGTCTGATGAATGAAGCTTTTTGTTTTTTGAGATTTAAAGAATTCAAAGTGAGAAATTCAGCAGTATTAAAAATTTAAAATCTAATGGAACAAATTATCTTCTATAGATTGTGTTAAATAAAGCTCAGATTAAATCTAACTTGAGTAACAGAGCTTTAGACAGAACAGAGTGCAGCAGCAAAGTATCACCGTGGTAAAAACTTCAAGGCTGTGCACTGGTGAGTTCAAATTGAGCTTTTGAACTGCATATTAAAAACAATACAGTGGCCCAGGTTTCCACTCCTCTTGAGTCTAAAAGTTGATCAATATCAATGTCACTGTAATAATATAAATGAGCTGAAAAGTCCTTGGCCTGCCTAAATATGTTAAATCTACATAAACCTACATGTAAACTGTAATGTTTACTTTTATGGCCCAAAATACCCCACGTCCCTCCAGAGTGCAGCGTCTCTGTGAGTTCATTGTACCATTTCCCCTGATGCGGCGGTGCTGTGAAGGGCTAGCCAGTGAAATCCCACACCAGTTTCTACTTTTAGCCGTAAAGGGAGCTGTGCTGAAGATGTCTGGTGTAGAGTGGCCTTGTAACCTCACCCACTGCACTCTGCGGGCCATGGAACCAACCAGGAAGTAACCTACACACAAACGGCAAGACATTACTGCCTAAAAAAGCTCCAGTGTTTACAGTTGAGGATTGCATAAGGTCAATAAACACAAGAACTTTACACGCTACTACTGGGAAAGTTTGTTGATGTTTTCTATAAAATATTTGGGCTAAAATGCAAATTTAATTATAACAAAATAGCATTTAGTTGTAAAGTCATCATTTGGAGAGATGGTTAATTACTAGATGGTAACAATAACCGAAATATCGTGATATCGTATGGTCAGACGTCTCACAGTAATATCGTGGGCTGTCACAATATATCGAATCACAAGTTCCTTTGCTTAAATGCATTGTTTTATAGTAGCAAAAGCTTATAAACATAGGGAACTACATATCTCATGATTCATTTCAGTGCAGACAACATGCAGAAATATGTTTTTTACTTGAATTCTTGGGATTATGACAGAACAAAGTATTTTAAAAGCAAAAAAGTGTCCCACCTACAATTATATTAGCCTCTTCAAAATATCGCAATAAATATCGTACTGTGAGATTTAGATATCGTTACATCCTTATTAATTATATTGTGATTGAGTGCTTTTTTGTTTAGTGTATCTTAATACTCAAATACAGACATATATCATCTATTTTCCTCACACACTCGTATTGGTCAGCCTGAGTGAATGACATGTGAATTTAACCAGTCACAGTCAAGTGTGAAAACTCAAAAAATGTTTTTAACTTTCTCTTAAAGGCCATACAGTCTTTGAGCAGGCCTGAGCACACAAAAGTTTATGGTCATGGTTGCTCAGAAGGTTGATTGTGTGAAACCTGATTGTCTTAATTTAACTTCTGCTGCTGTGTCATTAGGAGAGACACTTGGTTGGCCTGGTTTCTCACACAGTTAACATCGTACAGTAATGGCTTTTAAATATACTGCCTATCACCAGGATAAAGGCTAAATGAGGACTACACATGGTCATAAACAAGACTAAATCAAATCTAAATCTGGACTAAACCACTGGTGAAGGTGTTAAGAAATGCTCCCTGTTCAAAGTAGTGTAGTCTATTTTATTGTAGTCAGGAATAGTATTTTCTGTACTGATTTACCACGTTCTTGCTTCTGACATCTTTAATGCTAAATACATCTGTTATATAAAGAAATCACAGTCCAGTGGATTAAAGGCCAGGGGTTGTGTGGATGTTACCGTAAATGCACGTGCAGTATAGTTTAATCAGTGTCATTAAGTTGCAATTCTATCAACATTGTTTGATAACGATTTGAAACGGTGACAAAATCTCCGGAGAGTGACCCCAGCTGCCTGATCATTTTCCCTGTGTCTGAACTTTGGCGGCTAATTTCACACACTGCAGGCATCAGCATTATACAGCACTGGATTTTTATTGGTATTGAAATTAGAATATTGCTATCACAAATGAGATATGAGACTAATAAAATAAGTTAATGAAACATGCACCAATGAAGAAGACAATGACTTTATGTACACTTTTGTTCACAGGTTGTTTACATCTGTGAGTGACCAATTTGGGTTCAATCCATTATCTTTTTAGTAGGAAATATTTAGTTGTTTATCTGTCTACTTCCTGTATGTGGTTGCATCTGAAGACAAGCCAACATTCTCATCCCATGCGTTGCTTAAGATTCACTTCCCCTTAATCCAAAATCGCACTGCTTCATAACGTTCCTCTTCATATGCCCTTTGTCTTTATCTGGTGATAAAAAGTTAGATTGGCATTGATTTTTATTGTCATGTGTTTTTGTGTGTGTCCTCAGAGAGAAAGCGACAGGGCAAATTCCAGCCGTTCAAGCGACTTTTCGGGGGGAAGAAGAAGAAGAGAGAGCCCAAAGCCGGGTTTGATGGAGCTGAGCTTAAGTCCAGCTTTTCCACTGGGGAGGTCTGCAATGGAGTAGTGTCTGAAGATGAGGAGGGCAGTCAACATCTGAGGTAAAACATGCTATAAATAATCAATTTTACAATAACAATGTTGGTAGCTGTATTAGTAGCTCTTAGAATAGTCATAGTTGTAGTGGTTTTATACATAGTTTTAGTTAGTATAATAAAGGAACACACTTAGAGCAGGCTATGAAGTAATCTTTGTTTTTATCTAGTATCAAGACAGAGCACTGATAGTACAAGTAGATTTTCCACTGAATTGTGAGTAAGTGGTGTCATATAATGGATTAGTCAGCATGAGAACTACAGGCTACCAAAATGTCCCTGAAAGTTAACTCCAAGTTAAGACGTATACACTCCTGAATATATTTGGTAGTAAAATGGTCAAAGTAAAGTCAAGTGGTATAAATATATGCCATTTTGTCATATCCCAATTCAAATCTACCAGTTTATTGTCCATGCAGGAAGGCAATAAAGTATTTCCAAATCATGACCTCATTTTAATGTTATCTTCTTCCTTTTCAGAGTTGCTTTGTGCTATTTTAAGGATTTGCATATTTTAATAACAGCTTGTTTAATGCCCCTTTCTGTTTTCTTTTCATTCTTTCTTCTTGCTATTTTTTAACTTATTTTTTGAGGCTTCACTTTTGTGTTATATATTGTTTTATGCATAATTTCAATACTGCATAAATAATGTATTTTGTTTATCAATATAGACAGACCCCTGTTAAACACTGCATTATAGTTTATGCTTATTTAGTGAATGTAAACAAGACTTTATCTTTCTACATCATTGCAGCTTGGTTTAATCAGTCACATGTGGTGTCACAGTGTTAAACTTGACATCCATAAAGCTGTTATTTCACAATCAGCTGAGTAAAGGGTGAGGCTCTGCTCAAATACAGATCATAAAAAGGCTTTAGACAGGCTTAATTGATGTAGTAAAAGTGCTCGTGTGTGGAGAGCCAATTCATTTCTATTGAGGACAATGATTGAGTGAGCCACACTGCAGCATGCAAGTCAATGCTAGACAATGATTTAGTTTTTATTTAAAATGTATTTTGTATTTGTTTTCAGGGAGGTGAACCCCATAGGAGCTCGAGCGCTCTCACACGACAGCATCTTCATCCCAGAAGAAACTACGTCCAAACAGGAGGACGGAGGGGGAGAGCACACAATGTCCCAGGAAAACGTCTCGGATAAAGTCAGGAATCTGCAGGTTAGTCAATGGAAGAACTGGATCATTTAGTCATTTTGAGTTGTACAGACTAAAGTTTGACATGTCAGGGCAGTAAATAGATTGGGCAATTGCAGAAAATGAATAGTGAACTTATTGACAATAATGCAAACGATGACTCAATTTCTGCATACATTTAGATATGGAACAGGTTCTTGATATAACTTTGCCAGTGGGTAGCAGTTAAACAAATTTTAGTAATGATTATTAATATCTAGTATCTATAGTTAGCTGTTTTGCAGTATTAGTTCTTGAAGTAGCAGTAGTAGAAGTACATCTAACCATTGCTGTACAAGACTTATTTGGTTACTTGTTTCACTTTCAAATAAGATGAAAATGTGAGGTATAACTTTTATTGTTTTGGCATTTAACCAGATTGACTATTGTCTCCATAAACGATAACAGCACTATTAAGATAACCTTGACTTGTGCGTTGATTATCATTTTCGTTTAATCACTTCTTCATAGGATAATGTCACGTTGCCACTCATATTTATACAATAGTAATAATTACTATTAGCTACAATTCAACTAGTGCTACAATGAGGAACAAGGAAGCAAAGAACTCTCACTCTTAATTTCTAATAACCTTTATCTTATGGGGGAGGGGGCAATAAAGTGTGGCTGTGATTGGCAAAGTTTGCATTGCTTTAATTGGTTTCATGCCTGCTTTTGTTCTGTTGACACTGACACTCAGTTGTTAACATGGTCAGTGACAGTGAATGAAATGAACGGATTAGAAAGACTCTTGGCCCTTATTTGCTGTATATCTGTGCTTGGGGCTGTTTGGCTCAGTGGTTACAGAGCTTGTACACCAGCCATTTAAACCCATTTCGGACCTTACTTACTGTTGTTGTGTCCTCAAGCAAGGCATTTTACCCACCCTGTTTATAATGAATGTGGTTTCTGTGTGAGTGATTGGTGGTGGTCCAATAAATCACAGTCTAACCCAGGGCAGCTGTAGCTATAGAAGTTGCTTACCACCAGTGAGTGTGGAGGGAATGAATAATGCAATGTAACCAGTGTAAAGGTGTTATATCATTTCAAGACATATTTTGCTAACATCATGCTGCACATCTCTTTTGTGACTCGACAGAGGCAGATTGCGTCAAGTATAAAGTTTGGACAGAAGCCTCCCTCTATGCGCAGAAGTGAAGGAGATGAGGGCAGTACAGACGATGAGGAGCTTCCCAGGAGTCCCATGAAGGTCCAAGTGCTAGCTCAAATCCAGGTCCCACTTGAAACAGAACTACCCTCACCCGAGCCAAAAGTGAGTCAGCCATTGATTATCGTCCATCTTCTCTCCACTGTATGCCCAAACTGTAACTGTAGTCACCATATGAAAACTGTCTATCCTGTTTAATACAGAGAATTGATAATATATTATAGGAATATTTTAATGTACTATTTCACACTATTTAAGTTATATTATGTTAATAAAAGCAGTATATATAAAAATTTTGAATAACCTTCATTTTTGCTGTCTATACTGCTGTCCTTCTACATGCACATTTGAACTTTATTCATGTATTAATCTGAAGATTGATTGAAGGTTATTCTAGTCATGTGTTTTTTGTTGTTCCAGCCTGTCCCAGCAGCCGCCCCTCACAGCAGCCCCCCAGCAAAGTCTCCCAGATCCAAACGAGTTCTTCCTCCCACTGGGACCATCGAGTCTATAAACCTGGACGCAGTTCCTCAGAGCGGCCCTCGTCTGGACAACACTGCGGCAAAACATAAACTGTCAGTCAAACCGAAGAACCAGAGAGTGTCTCGCAAGCACCGGTGTTACACACAGGTGAGACGTGATGGCCTGATGATGCGAGGGGTGTTGAAATGAGGGTACAGTACCTCAAGTATTACACTTACTTAATATCTATTACATTTATCATTGTTACATATTTGGGCTCCCTTAAATCTGTGAGGCATCATCTTTATTCGATTACAGGTGTTTTTATTTGCCAAAAAGTACTTGATTTGGTAGAGTCGCTTGCTTGTTTAGTGCAGTTTTATGTCACTGAAGAAAAGGTTTTGGAGCTTCCTGCAGTACCCCCTTAACCCTCTCAGGCTCAAATTAAGTTTTAGTATCAGGAAAAATCTGAAATTTGGGGAAAATTATCATATGGGGTAGTAGTAAAAGTATTTTGCACTTCTGGCAGGCCGTTTGCGTGTAGCCATTCTTGCACAGTCTGCATCGCCCACGTTTATCAGCATGGATGGGAGAAAAGGCTCCTGAGTAAAAAAAGCTCATATAATATGGATGTGGAGTAAGTAGGTAATTGGAATTTAGCTGTTGCAAATCTGCAATGCCTGCCTGGAGAGGGTTAACCTTTATTCACCAAATGGCGAAATATACAAACATGACCTTGGGCTAAAATGATCTTTTGTGTCCAAGGACCTACAGGACGTGTCTATTCCGGGTTTGTTGGAAGAGGACTCTGAAGCTCCTTGTTTCTCTGCTGCAAACCAGCGCCGAGCATCAGCCACAGAGCCACTCCAGCCCTCCGAGAGCCTGAGAAGGAGGCAGCATGAGGAGGAAGTGAGGAAGAGGAGGGAGGAAGAGGAGAGGAGACGAGCTGAAGAAGAAAGGAAACGAGCTGAGGAGCAGAGGATTAGGGAGCTGGAGGAGGAGAGGAGACGCAGAGAGGAGGACGAGAGGAGACGTAGAGAGGAGGAGGAGAGGCTTCACAGAGAGGCAGAGGAGCGAAGGGCGAGAGAGGAGCTGTTACGGCGACAGAGAGAGGAGGAGGAGAGGAGACGAGCTGAGGAGGAAAGAAAGAGACATGAGGAAGAGGAGAGGAGGAGGCGAGAGGAGGAAGAGGAAAGGAGGCAGCAGGAACTACTGGAGAAGCGACTGAGAGAGGAAGAGGAAGCGAGGAAAAGGAAGGAGGAAGAGGAGAGAAAGAGAAGAGAGGAGGAGGAAGCCAGGAAGAGGAAAGAGGAAGAGGAGAGAAGGAAACAACAGGAGGAGGAGAGAGTGAGGAAAGAGAAAGAGGAGGAGCTGAGGTGGAAGGAGATGGAAGAGAGACAGAAGCCCTTTTCATTTAAGGTGTCGTCTGGAGAGAAGCAGATCCTGTTCCAAAAGGTAAGACAATTTATGTGTGTTTTTATGGTGTAGTGGTTGAAAAGAACAATCATCTGTCATCTTTCATTACAAATTTTTTAAATAATTGTTTCCTCTTTTTTCAAAGGTAAACTTGACGCCAGTTACACCTGGATCCGCTCATCACCAGGGGGCCACTGTAGCAGATCACAAAGAGAGCGCTAAACCCGCCTCCTCTGAAGACCCTTCAAACCTGTCCCCCTCCACCTACATCCCCCACACCGCCATCTTAGTGACTGGGGCTCAGCTTTGTGGACCTGCGGTAAACCTTGACCAGATCAAGGACACTGCATGTAAATCTCTACTGGGTTTGGATGAGAAGAAGACACCAGGAACCCCAACTAAAAACAAAACTTCCCCAGATCGCAAATCTGGCAAAACAAAATCCCTCAGCGAAGCCTCCTTTTCCACTGACCAACCCGGTTCAGATGTCCTGGCAGAGTGGGCAAGCATTCGATCAAAGATTTTCAAAGGGGTAGAAGATGGAAGCTACCCCGATCCAGAAATGACAAAATGCCAACCGCCTCCAGAAGAGCAACCTGCATTCTCCCATACACACCTCAGAAAAACTATGTCCGCTAGCGCCAAGTTCTCAATCACGCCAGCAAAAAAGAAGTTTGGAGATTCCAACAGGAACTCTGAGGTTTTTAGTCCAGAAGATGTAAGTGAAATGTCTTATGAACCTCCAGTGTCTCCAGCGCCTAAACCGAAAAACAAAAGTGTCAGAATTGTGGAGAGGGCATCGGATGAGTGCGTTTTTGCCAAAGACTTGCCATCTTTCCTTGTACCAGGGGTTAAACCTGAATCAGAAATGTTAAAAACTAGGGCATATAGTGAGAGTTATGAAATTAAAGACTTAGACGAAGACTTGAATCTGGATGGAGAGGATGCACCATCTCCTTTTGGGATCAAGTTGAGGCGGACTAACTACTCTTTACGTTTCCATAATGAACAATCCACAGAAAAGCGAAAGAAAAGATACAGCGATGGGGATAGCTTTGACGGCGTTCCATCACCTTTGACGCCTATAGAGCCAATTTCAGACATTTCCTCAGTTTTTTCAGAAAGAGTCAGTCCTATATCACCACAAAAGGAAGGCGCTGTCAGCAAGTATATACACTCACCTAGGGCAAAACAAGCAAAGTCTCCAAGCCCCACCCCGCACACTGAAAGTGAGAAAATCATCTCAAAACCTCCAGTATACAGGAGGCCAGCAACCTCTCCAAAACCAACTGGGTCAGTACCAACTCCCCCACCCTCACCCCTTCCTAAAGTGCACCATGTGATGCACAGTCCCAGAGAAGTGGTAGTAGAGTCAACAAGTCATGAACAGGTAGGAGGTAGGGGAGAGGAGATGCAGAGGTGCAGCCAAGGACACTCGCCAGGAGAGGAGGAGCCTAAGGAGAAAAAGTCCTTCTTTCCCTCCATTAACATCCCCTGGAGAGAGAAGAGTGACCGCAAAACAGAGCTTATCCGAAAAGGTCAGTGATTTAAGACACTTTGAGGACAGTTTGATATTTGTATTAGGTGGGTAACCAAAACATGTACTCAAGTATTATGACTATTACGTCTAAAATCAATTAAAAAACAAGTAATTGGAAAAAGTAGTTTAATGTCAAAGGTAGAAGAAGCAAAAACTATATATTTTTTAATTTGTCACCAATGGGTAGTGACATTTTAAAACAGGGTAGTGACGTTTTAAAACGCAGCTAAGTACTTTTGTCATTATGTCACTCCAAGAATATCATTATTGCACCTCCTACATTTTTCAACTTTTTTTTTTCTTGCTTTAGTTGTCTTAAGGTTTGACCTATGGCCTCTCCAGTATTTTCAGGTTCAGTCTGTTCTTACACAGCAACATTAATCATGAGTGATTTGAATGACTGGCAACACAAGTGACTTTTAGGTAAATAGTAGTTTTATGTGCATAGTTTGTGCAAGAACATTATCTAAAGTAAACTAAATGGACTATGAAACATTCATATTAAAATAAATGTTGTGAATAGATGTTCATTGATTAAGGTATAAGTCTTGCACTGTTAGGAATGGTGAATTTCCAGACTCATCATAAAACCTTAAATATATACGTGCAATTGCCTTATTTTTCCTAAACAATTTTATGGTTTGCATCTTCTCCCAAATGTTAACTCCAAATGGTTCTATTGTTAGAAAAGGACTGGTGTGTTTTTCTACTACTGTTTGCCAAATAGGCAAACAAGGGTTAGGGTATGTAGAAAGGTGCTGCATTGAAGGATTATTCTAGATTAAAAGAAAATTATGACATGGATTCGGCAAATTTTTAACCTCCTCCATCTACCAGATGAATTCAAAATCTTCAAAATCAGGACTTTTCCACAGTTTACTGAATTTTCATTTTGAGCTACTGTGATCCTACTCTTTTACTCATCTTTGCATCTTTGTTCCACAGAGAAACCATCCCTTCAAAGTAGGCACTCTCTGGACAGTGCAAAGGTGCAGGAGAAGGAGGGTGCCCCCCTCTGGATCCATTTAGCACTGCAGAAACAGAAGGGCTTCAGAGAGCAGCAGCAGAACCGTGAGGACCGCCGCAGCCAACGAGAGGCCAAACTAGCTGAGAAACACACCCGAGAGAGGGACAGTGTATGTACTCGTGTGGTCATTTAATATGTTTTATGTATGTCGGGGTTTAGAGTTCTGTTCAGCACTTTGTGGTGCAATTGTGTTTTTTCAGTGTGCCACACATAATCAATTTGACTTGAGTTGAGTGTCAAGTGGATCTATTTTGAGATTGTGGTCTCAAACTGTGGTGGAGTACTGTAAGTTATGGATGTGACTTGGTTCATCAATCATGTTTTCTGCTGGTTTAGTCCTAGTTCAGTATTCATTTAGTCTTGGTTTCACCCTGGTTTTGTTCTAGTTTAGTCCTGGTTCAGTCTTAGATCTGATTTGGTTTTGTAAATGATTTACAATATATTTTAGCTAGTACTCATTGGTTTTTAAATACTTAAAGGGGGATTTCTTGTTGTTGCAGCTTACATTACCGAGCCCCACAGACAGCAGAGGAAGTGGGAGCACTAGTCCCAGCTCAAAGCCTCAGACCCCTGAAGAACCCAAGAGACCGGACTCTCTCCTGGGACGATTGGAGCGGCGTGAGCAACTCAAGAAGGCCAACACCCTCCCCAGCTCTGTGACAGGTGAGAACACAGGAACTATAAACATTTATATATCCAAAGGTTTTATTCCTCTTAAGCTATACACATACTTATGAGCTTTTCATATTATCAGTTAAGTATAATGGGTGAAACTGGTTGATAGATACATTATAATCCTCTACTGTATATTATAAGATCATGATCTTTAATGTTTTTTTGACTGAACATTTTTGCTGCCAGTTTCAATACATTGTTGAAGACTGGGCAGATACCAGTGATTACAAATCAGTGTACCTTTTCAGTGTACCTTTTTACCCCTCCCAAACTTGAATGGGTTTCTATGGGAAAACCAGAGAGAAAGATTGCCCATTGTTGGATTTTTTATGGGTGACTTGATGGCCTTGTAATGCTTTGCGTCATATATGGTATGGTTTGTGTCTCTACAGTTGAGATTGCAGATTCTACTCCGTCTCCTCCTGCTGTCAAGGACGTGTCAAAACGCTTCCCCTCCAGCGACTCTGCACAGGTATCCACTGAGCCGGCCTGGCTGGCTCTGGCCAAGAGGAAGGCCAAAGCCTGGAGCGACTGTCCACAGATAATCAAATAGAGGAAAATGACTTTCACTTTACCATCTATAACCTATAGGGATCTGAGAAAAATAAGAGACCAATGCAAGACAAGATAAAAGTGCAATATAAAAAAAAACAACTTAACTGTAAAACTATATTTTTCTTTGCCACCAGTGGGTAGGCTGGCCAGATGTACTCTAGAAAGAGTATTGTTACATCAAAATAAGATTACTTAAGTCAAAGTAAATATATGGCATTTTGTCTTCTACATTTTGGGCCAAGTTTTATTTTTGGACTAAAGACCAACCTGAAGTCAATATTAGGTGTTGTAAGTACTTTGTAACCAGTTTTGTGTCAGATTGTGTCAAAGAAGGGGAAAAAATAGCGGTCTCTTATTTTTCCGTAAAGCTGTACCCTATTTCCAAATCTCCTATCCCATAAAACTTTGTCCACACTGGATGGTACCCTTATCATGCTAAAGTGCGCTTCACATCAAAATACAAACGCACACTCTTATGTAGTATGTACTGCAGGCATGCGCACACATCACTTCATGTACAAAAAAAGAGAAAATGTTTGCTAAATCTGCCACATTCAGGGGACTTTTCCAAGCAGCCAATCCCAAACGTGGCTGGCCAATGCAATAGCCAACTTTTGTATTTAGTAGCCAACAGCGTCACCACGGATGTAAATAGCTCACTTAAAGATAATAGGGACAATTCTGTATGAGAGGTGAATACATTACAGTGTTTATGAATGGTGTTTTAAGGGCTACAGTAACAATAATCTAAAATGAGAAGGCATCTCTCCAGCTGCCCGGGCCGGTATTATTTATGTAAAGCAATGGATTTGTCTGTGTTTTAACACTACTGTATCTTCTGAGCCTTTTCTCTTTTTTACTTAATGGAAAATAACTGTGTCCGTGATGACTGTGACAGTAACAATACGCAGATCAGCCACAACATTATGCCCAAAGAATCAGCTCCAGTGAACTTCACAATTAAACAAATTAGGAGTGTAGGCATATGGCATGGGGTCTAACAGACACACATAGGTATCTCAACTACTAGAAAGGTCACTTTTTCCTTCAGTTTGTTACATTAACAGGCAGGTAGTCATAATGTTTTGGCTGATTGGTGATTTATAATGAGGTGGCCACACCTGAACACAGCACTGAAGACCACAAGTGTTACCTGGGCATTGACAGCACTTCTCCTCCCAGACAAATATGGACAACTTCCTGCTTGCTGTAACATAAAGCTTGTAACTATCCCATTTCACACTTGTGTTTTGTAGGCCATCTCTTTCTGTAAGTGTAATGAAACATTTCCTGAATGAAAAAAGCAACCCCCTCCCTTTCCACTCAAAGACCTGTATGTTTGTAAGAAAGTTCTGTAACTAAGTCAAAGGCACTACGAGCTTTGGGCAGAAGGGAGCGCAGCAGCTCAGTCACTCGTCATTTTGTTTATAACTTTGGTCGTGCACAATAGTGTAGTGTACGCAGTGTTAATGTAACAAAATGTTTGGTATAATTTGCACTTTTTTGTCCCACTTAGAGATATAAACAAGAAAATTCTTGAAGAAAGACAAAATGTTATGAATAATGTAAATTAAACACTGATGTCGGAATCAAATGTGTGGATCTTTATTGTTTTTTGCTCCAAAAGGACCACTGGAGCCCTCTCACAGGAACTTAAGCCAAATTATTGTGCACCTTATCCACAACACTGGAGCACAACATTTACTGAGGCAAAAATTATAATTGTTTAATTTAAAACACATTAACTTCTGAACAAGGTCATCAAAAAGTACAGTACACATTTTGGTCGTCAACAATTTTGACATTTATTAATGCACTGCTTTTGAGAGCTTAGTAATATAAAACTTTTTTTTTTAATAGATAATAAATACATCTATGTTACCTCCAATTTTAAACAATACACACAGTCATTACGGCATCCAATAACCAATGAGTCCATATGCACAACCGGGGACGAAAACAACTCTCCTGGAAGTGTATGTGATGCTCTCTTGAGTCCAGTTTCAACATCCAGGATCCAAACTGACCCATCTGTGGATGCCAAGCCCACCAATGTGCCCCTCACCCTGGGAGCCGAGGTGCCAAACACACAAGGGCTGGAATAGACTCTACCAGACGTCTCAAATCTCCAAATCAGAGCACCATCACAAATGTTTAAGCAGTAGATGTGACCATCATGAGAGCCACACAGGACCTGCAGCAGGTCTGGGGTCAGGCACGGAGACGAGAAGACCGGTGCCTGGGTCAAAAACTGCCAGAGCTGCAAAGAAGCAAAATCAAAAATAGTACGTGTGATAACATACCAGTTTATTCAAATAAAGTGATACACTTATATTTTCAACATTTTAAAGCTGCACCTGGTTTAGTGATTTAACAGAAAAATAAATGTTTACTCATTAGTTCAAAACACAGTTAGACACAGATAAGACCTCTTAAAATATGATGTGGTCTCGCCTGTTCAATAAAGCAATATTCATTGCTTCATTGCACAGAATCAAAAGCTCCGTTTCAAATATAGTATAGTACATGTATTTACCAGTTGTCCATCGAGGCTAAAACTGCAAATGTTTCCATCAGCTGAACCAATTACAACATGTGTATCTGAACTGACTGGAGATGAGAAAAAGGGCACATCTTTGGAGTAGGACCACAGCTCCTCTGCAGTGTCCTGGGATAAAGGAAAATGAAAGAAAGATGAGAAAGCAAAGCAAAGCAAAGCAAAGCAAAACAAAGATGGAAGCTCATTTTTTTTCTAACCATGTTTAGGCAAAGAAGACGACCTCCCAATGTAGCCACAAACAAATGTCTGAGTGACGGATGAATGAAAGGAGAGGAGAAAACTGCTCCACCTCCACAGGAATGCTTCCATGCACAATGACGAGTCTTGATAAATAAAACAGATATTTTAAAAACCACTAGATCACTTTGCTCCATGTTCTTGTCCCCATAGAAATGTTATTGCTTTGTCCAGAATGTTCCGCCCTATGGCATTAAACATATCTATCCCCATGGAGACAAGCAGTTGACCCCATCGGGCCGAGTCAAATCTGTAGAGACTCAGTAGGAATGCAATTTTTTCAGGTAATAAAAAACCTTAACTGAATAAATGCAAGATAAATGTCCTTCTATGCCTCAGCTGTTAACAGTAATTGAAGGATTCAATTCAACATTAAGCATGGCTCATATTCAGACAAAATAATATTCAGTTGAAAGATATTACATGATATTATTCAATCAAATTAAATTATTCTGAGATTATAGATAGGCTCACCTTTGGGTCCAGGGCATAAACCTGTCCATCATGTGACCCCACGAATACCAAACCAGTTTCAGCATCAACAGCAGGGCAAGATTTCACTGTGTCTCCAGTTTTAAAGAGCCACTCAGTCTCTCCAGAGGATACATTCAAGAAATATACACCACCATCATAACAACCTAAAGAAATTAGCAACACTTTGGGCAGTGGTTTGAATAGTGACTTTAAGTAAAATGTTAAGCAAGCTAAATGTTAAGTACTTTAAAAGGTGCTGTACTGTACCATGACATGTTATATACTGACCTACAATCACAAGAGACCCACATGAAGACACTGTAGCTGAGGCTTCAATCCTGTCCCCAAGAACCCGTTCCCAAACCAAACTTCCCGAGTCCAAGTCCAGGGCCTGGATTCGGTGTGAGTGGGACCCAATAAACACTGTACTTCTGGCCATTTGTTGCACTAAAATAACAGGTGAGGCGTCCACACATCTCCCAGTGTCTGACAACCAGTGCATTTTCAGTGATACAGTTTTAGATTCACCAATCTTACTCAACGTTATGTCTTCAATTGTCTGTAAATGCCCTGTAGATTTAGTATTAGGCATCTCAATTATCTGACTGCCTCTTTTTATAACCTTGAATACCGGTATGTCTTTTTCAGATGATGTTTTGCGTTCTCGTTTTGCTATTGCTTCATATGGGTTTTCCAAATGTCTTTTTGTTGCTTCCTGCTTGACTTGTCCATTGTTTTCAAGGGATGATACTAGATTAACTTCAGAAATGTGGTGTAATATGTCTGCGAAAGTGCCATCAAGTATGATTTCTACAAGATTTGGGGAGGTTAGGCCGGTAGTGGCAAGAAGGTCTTCATGGAAAATTAATGCTTTAAGAGAGTCTCCTCCACTGACCAAGAAGTTGGAGTCCTCATTTATGGGTATTTCTTTAGGAAGGCCAAGAGATGTCTGTTGAACATATAAAAAGGGGGATGAGGTATATAGTGCAAAAACAACATAAAAATCCAACACTAAAATACAAAGTGCCTTTTGAATCTGGACAAACTACTCTGGGCACTGATCATGGTTACCCACTGCACCAATAGGGGGACAGAGGAGCTCATTCTCCAAGACGCCCCTACAGGTTCACTCCAGGACTACATTCATACTAGTATTTGGCATACAACTGTACAATTCACCCTTATGTGATAGATAGACAGTTTTCATCATTGCACTCCTTACCACACCTCTATTACATAGGCTAGATATTCTCTGTTTTATATAATTTCTGTATTTTATTTATACATACCTATACAAATCTGTATATTTGCATCCAATTTAATACAAATAAATGCTATTTTTGCTATGTGTACAATCCCTCAGCCAAGTAGAATCCATGGCAAAAGGAAAAATTCAGTTGGACGAACGTTTGTTTGATCGAATACGTTTCGCAGCTAATCCAAGCTGCTTCTTCAGTTCCGACCAGTTCTAACCAAATTTTCGACAAAATAAACTTTTGTCCAGTTGACAAACTGAAATTTTACTTTTGCCACACTATCGTTGATACTTTAATAATAATGCATTATTGTGTGTTTATTGTGTTTGAAAAGCTACTTTTACTAAGTAATTCCTTGGATAAATAAAATGTGTCTAAGTCAGAGTCTACTTTAATTATTTGTTTAGCATAATAGTATAATATAAAATAATTATTACCTGCCATAAAGACTCCAGAGTCAGCTTTGTGAAATCCCTCTGTGAACTGCCCAGTAATCCACTTCTATGAGTTTGATAGGTCCTCATAAGTGCCTTCATGTCCACTTTACCTGTCAGTACATAGTACTAAATAGTACTAATAGGACTAATATTGTTTCATATTGAATCATTACTCACCATGAGCAGTCAGTGGTATTTCAGGTACAATCAACACAGTATCTGGTACACTGAAGTGAGCTAGGGTTTGGGATAACTCTTTAAGGATGGTCCTCCCCACTTTTCCAACCTCTCCCTCCTGCTCCTCTCTCATTGTGGCATCACATAATACAACAGGCGAAGACTCCAATTTAGACGTCACTATAAATGCAATCAGCCGATGGTTTTCATGAATGCCCACAGCACAGGCCTCCACCAGAGGTGCAGTTAATATGAGCTGAAACAAGAAAAAAGAATTACATGTTTTAATGATGAAGAGGAGGAATTTCCCTTTTGTGTGCTCTTAGCTTCGTGCTCTCCCTAATATACACTGCATTATGTTTGTTAAGAGAAGTAAAGTAATAAATACATGTAACTGCAATTACATGTATTACATGTACATTACAGCTGACAACATATTTTGGTTAAACCAAATATTATCAATATGATTAGTATTTAGTGGGTAGTAATATTTATGCCATTTAGAATCACGTCACGTTCAAATGGTGTAGGATTAAGTGATAGTTCAACAACCAAAAAGTCTGTGGTCTGAGTGCATGCTATTGTGTCCATGTTCTTAGTTCCAGTTTGACCTCTCACCTGCTGCACCTCGTCCAGACTGAGGCGCTGTCCGTTTCGTTTGATCATTCTGTCTCTGCGTCCCAGGAAGTGCATTTGTCCATCTTTGAGTCTCACCCAGTCTCCAGTGGCTCTCATTGTCCCGGAGACCAGTGTATCCTCATCATCTAACAGACACACCCTGTGCTCACCACCTGCACCAGACATGCGAGTATGTAAACTAACATTTATTATATATTTGTGTTGAACAATGTAATGCAAGTAATTAAACTGAACTTAACTTAACTAAAATGACCTCATTGTGGGACAACATCTTGTTTAAACTACTGAATCAGTGCATGACTCAAAGTGTACATTATAAAATAAATCTCTGACTGTTTAATTTGAAAATTGGTTGTCAATGTATTGATATGCTGGAAAGTTCTGTAGCCCACCTATGAACACTTGTCCATCTCCCTCTTTCATAACCACTCCGTGTTCATCTCGGACTTCTACCTCAGTGCCTGACAGCTGAACTCCAAGGGGTACGGGAGAACTGCAAAATTAAACATTATACAATAGACAATGAGAAACAAAACATTTTTTAGATTTGATTTGAAAATTCAGCCCTGATTCAGTCAAGACAAAGTTTTGGGATCCTTTTTGATTTTGAATGTGCTACTCAAATTTTATTTGTGCCATGAAGAATATTAAAATATAGCAATGCTACATTCAGTTATGTCATCGTTGTCATGTCTGTGTATTTTTGTGCCAGGATACACACCTCTGACTTGACTGCAGCTCCTTCTCTAAGACCTTGTAGCAGGAAGCCCAGCAGGAAACTTCAGTGATGCCGTAGATGTTATAAATCTCAGTTTTATTGTCTCTGTGTTTCCAGTCTGCAAGCTGTTTTGGAGTGGGACAGGACTCTCCCCCCAGCAGTAAAATACGTAACGAAGAGCTAGCTGACAAAACGTCCTCTTTAAGGCTACTTGGACCAAAGCGATAAAATAAAGAGGGAGTAGCCTGCAAAATATACACACATGCCGAAGGGCTTAAAATAGGTTTAGAGACTGTCAATGAATGGTGCTTTCAAAACTTTGGCATGAATCTAGATTACATTCAGAATTATTTTAAACAATTCAGTCATTTTTTAAGATACACACATAAGACAATAAAAGCTAGATTCTTTACCTGAAGAATTGTTGTCTTGTGATTCTTAAACAGCAGCTGGGTCAATCGCTTGGGCATCTTCTTTAGAAGAGCTGGAACAATTAAAAGTGTTGCTCCAGAGGTTAATGCCATGAACATCTCCACCACAGATGGATCAAAGGTCAAAGGTGACGCAAGGAAAACCAAATCCCCTTTTTTAATCTGAAACATTAAACTACAATGATGGACAAAATCAATCTATGGCTCACTCTAATAAAAATACACAGTTCAGACTCACCTTAAATCACATATATTGGGACGTATACATTTGTGTGGTACTTTCACAATCTTTGGGTTTCCTGTTGTTCCAGATGTATGGAGCACATAGGCAAAACTGTTCTTGAGTTCAGCAGCACCATCTTCTGTCTGAAGTTTGATTTCTTCTGTTTGTTCATCCCGCTCGGCTTCATGTGGGGATTTCACTTTAACCACTGTGAGTTTAAACTTGGGCAATGCCACACAGACAGCAAGCCTTAACATTTCTCCAAGACTTTTCTGGAATATCTTAAAACACAACAATGCAAGACAAAAAGTATTATTGCACACACATTCTGTTATCTTGAATTAATTAGAAATGCAATTTACTCTGTCAAGAATAAATCATAATGCCAAAATAAATAAATTTCAGTTCTCCTATTTTTGTTTCAAGACTCCAGTACAACACAGGTAGAAGGCCTACAACTCCAAAAATCTATATGTTTGGTGTTGACTTTAAATATGTACTTTACCTCTAGGAGTTCTGTCTGAACCACACAGTACATGAGACCGCAGCGCTCCATGACTCTGAAGGAAAGAAGACCAGGATCACCAGGGTCCAGCGGAGCATAAGCAGAAGGTACCTGCATGATCCTGGAAAAACAATAGACTCAACAACCGTTTCCATATCTTCGTTACAGTACAGCAATGTTTGGCAGTGGGTGTCTGTCACCCCCGTCTAAAATATGGGATACACTTAAAAGATATGTATGAAGCTTAACTTTTACAACTTTCTATCATGTCAAGTAGAATAAAGTAGAGACCTCAGGCAGTTACGCAAATTCATTCATGAACTTGCTTACACATATTACTACAGTGCTCCTTGGCTGAGAAGTGAACAAATGTAACATTGGTGAAAACTACAACATCTAGATATTTTTTGTTCACCCAGATTTTTTGATACTGACCCCAGAATCCAGACGGGCAATAGCAAGTGTTCGCGGCAGAACAGGCCAATCACGCCTTTATTGGGGAGACAGCTCTCCCGCAGGATGCTGCACAGTTCAGCGGAGAGGACACGCAGCTGCCCGTAGCTCAGAGACTCAGGTTTCCCGGTGCTGTCGTCAAATGTCACCGCGGTCTGATCGCTGAAACAGGACGAAGTCTTGACAAACATATCGTATAGCGTTTTACACTCCATATTCACTATAAGCTCTAAAGAAACTGCTTTAAATTCGCTTGAGTGCTGCTGTTGTCGACTAAATATGACGTATGAATGACGGCTTGTTTGGGAGATTACTAGTTCATGGAAAATGAAGTCTAAAATGAATAAAGACTATTTCCTTGCAATAAACTCATTGATAAAACAATATCATCCATTAAATGATATATTTTCTCTCCGTTTCGTTTGTTTAGTTTATATCTCGTGTTTTTATCTTTTTTAAAAAATAATTATCTGAGTACCTTCAGTTATTCCCAATTACTTTGAACGTCGCATTATTTTGACCAATCACCGTTCACTTTGCTGCAGTCGACGAGTTTTCAAATTGGACGCGCCTTTATCTCTCATTTAAACGGTTTGTTTTTTAGTTTACAGTTCACTATTTGGAGGATTTTGTCAGTAAATTATAACCATGGACGAAGTCTTTAAAAATCAGCTGCAGAAAAATGGTGCACGTTTCCAACGATCTCTAGACAGAATCGCTGAAAAGGTATGAAGTTACGTGCTAAGTTGCTAACATTAGCTCGCAAAGTGGATTGACTTTAATAAACACATATCTTATTTATTTTACAGTATTCCAAGATTCAACAATATGGAGACGATGCAATAGAAGTGGACCTGGACAATACCCATATAGAAAGTACGCAAAACAAACATGCAAAGATACAAAGGCCTGATATATATAGACTATTAGGGTCAAAGACGTTCCTCTGAAGTAATCTTTGTCTATCTTATTTGCTTCATTAGCGTTACAGCGTTATATGACACTGTCAAAGAAGAATGTCAACAAACTTTCTAAGGTTTTTTTTTTTTTTAGTACCCGTGTATGTTTTGGTATATTTAGAAATGCTTTCTTATTTAGTCTAATGATTATGTTTTCTTCAGGGATTTGCTGATTTAAAAGAGGAATCGTTATCATGTAAGTGTTTTAATAGGAATAGAGTCAGACAAATTTCCCAAATGTATTATTTTGTTTTTCTGTTCTAGTGAACGACATCACCAAAGAATCACAGGTAGGATGATTATTTTTAGCTCAAGTTTGAACTTAAGTAACTGTTGTAAACTGTTGTAAATCATGATGATGATTTTTCTTTTATCTTCATACCTATAGGTGAATTACCCATGTGAAGAGCGAACTGACTGCTTTGAAACCACCACCTTCTCAGAAAATAATGGTAATCTGATTATTTAAACCATTAGTGAACCAAATGTATAGATGCTAAGCACAGAGAAATATTGACTTAAAACTTTGGTATGTTAACATGAGATTGAGATAAATTAATATTTTATTCTTTAAACATTTTCAGACACAGAAACTGTACCTAGAAGTCATACTGTAAACACAATGGATGAAAATTGGAGAAACTACACAGTCCAACCAGAAGATGAAGAGGAACAACTGGAAATGTCTTTCCAGAGTCAGGGCAGCTCTTTGGGAGAGCTCTACCCGGACATGATCAGTCAGATCGGGAATGCCTGGCGACGACAACATGTCTCTGAAGCGGCTGATTCAGTACTGAGGAGGTACCGTAAATGGCGTAAATCAAACAGGATGCAACTCACCAACTCTTACCACACTGCACAAAAACCAGACATTCACAAAGGGACAAGACAAAGAGACATTTTCAACAAGCAGCACTATAATCCCAAAAGCCCAGTAAAAAGCCTTTCCTCTACAATGATTAAAGCTGGTTCAATGTCTCCTGTTAAAATGTTAACTAGTGGTCAGAAATCACCGCACTATTACTCTCCTATGAAAAGAAGAGAAGCACCTCCCACTGCAATCGTGATGGACATGTCTGCTCTCAGTGAACCATGTGAGATGGAGATTAACAAAACATTTACTGTGTATGAACCAACTTCAAGCTACTCATCTTACACCTCCAGTCCCTCAAGATCTTTCTATCCCCCAAATAGGCCATCCCAGGATCTCATCTTTAGGATGAAGGAGTCTTGTATGTCTCCACGCTGCATGCAATCTACTAACTGCTCTGGGTTTGCAGCCGAAAACTCACTGCTCAAAGAAAGGCATGAAATATATTCATCTCCTGTCAGACAAAGCCCTTACAAATCCAATTCAGCATGCAGGAACAGCTTCAGTGAACAAATTGACATCTATGGCTCCCCTGTGAGAAAAAGTCCTTTCAGATTACACACAAGCAGGGAAAGTCTTCGGCAATCACCTTATGCTGCAATCTCTAAATCACCATATATGAAGCAAAGTATCTCCAAAGAGAGAAGTGGATTTAATTCAGCTTCTAACTTTGTCCCATCTGTTTCACCAAAGATTATGGTACCCAGGAGGACTCTTGAATATTCAGATTTGCAGCTCTCCCCTCAGCTGGGTTCACCTCAAATGGGTAATTCAAGAAGACACCATAGACTTCGCCGCCATCTTTCTTTTGATTCCTCCTCTCTGACATCGAGCCGTGCTTCCTATACTACAAAGGACTTTGACAACGACTTCATAAAACTGTACCACAAACTTGTCTGTCTGAATAAATCTTCGCACATACAAGGCCATCCCTGCCGATTTTGTGCCAAAAACTCTGAAGCCAGCAGGGGGCACTCTTTTTCCAATTTGGCAGCGCTTGCTTTGTCACCACATCGTCCACTTCTGAGAAAACGCCATCGAGATTTGGACATTTATCCCCAGTCCAAGCGCTTCAAGGATGGCCACTTCACAAAATATCTGTAAATATGTTTTACCCGATTTTACCGCATCTAGTGTTTTTTATCTGCATAAATGTTAACTGTGAGGAAGCAAATATTCCAATTATATTATTGTTCGAAGAGGTTGATTACAAACATTGAAAAAAAAATGTTAATCCATTATGTTTATGGAAAGGTTTTACTAAAACTCAAATGATCTAACCCTTTTGACTTGTTTATCAAAAAAGTTTTTATTAATAAAATCTACAAATGCCATAATGCGTCAGTATTTTATTTTGCAATAGGGTCCTTGGATAGAAAAAAAATGAATGTTGATAATTTGCATTTTTAATTTTTCATTTACGATCCTCTATGGTTTTACAAAAAGTAAATTTGAGGAAACAGTATATAAATTATATTTAGATTTCAGTCTTGTTTGCATTCTATTATGTATAGAGTAAAGTAAAGGGATAAAGTAAAATACACCCGCAGGCTTAGGGTTGCTGGAAAAAAAGCCTAACCCTAAAAAAAGACATTTTAGTTACAAAAAGTATGAACATGTAAGTATGCAGATAAAGCTGAACTATTGAATGTCAAACAAAAAAACAAGGTCTGCACAAACTGATCTTAAGATATTGACCAAATTGTGATAGATGGGAAGACAGTTGCATAATAAGTAAAACTGAATATTTTACAGTCTGAAGGATGTCACCTTTAGTCACACTTGCCTCTGGAGTAATGCTTCTTTAGACTCTTGAAACACTGATTTAACATTTACTATTATGAAAATATTGCAATATTCAACAAACATTGGCAGCACAGTGCTCACACTTATTTTTCACATATTGTGCAACCTGAAAAGCATGCCTGCTTATATTTTTGTTTGTAAATGTTTGCTGAAATGTCTTGTTTTTGGTGCTGCTACCACTCCAGCTCCACTGGATATTTCCCAGTGAGGCAAGCAGTACAGTGGCCCACTCTGCCTCTGGACTTATTGATCATTTCATCTTTGTCTTTGGAGGCAATTCCCTCCTGCACAGCCAAAATTAGGCCCTCCACTGTCAAATACTGAACACTGTCAGCACCTGGACAATAAAGGAGGAAAACATAAACAAACTTAAGATCTGGTACATATGACTGATATAATATACACAACATACCAATATATCCAGCAATGTCCTGAAACTCTGGCTTGTTGGCAATCAACTCCTCTTTGGTGGGAATATTGATACCCATGTAACAAGGGTACCTGATAGGTGGCGAGGCTACTCTGATGTGGACCTGCAAAACAAAAAAGAGTAAACATGTAGCATTAGTGTATTCAGAGGGAATTCTGGACTTTATAAGTAGTTTGTAAACAGGACATGTAAAAGTACTATAGCACTGTACATTTGAGGTTAACAGATTTTAGGGTTTAGAGTTTGTTTTTTTTACTTGAGAGGAAATCTTACCTCGGTTGCACCAGCCTCCTTCAACAGTTTTATAATGGGTGAGATGGTGTTCCCTCTCACAATGGAGTCATCAATGAGCACAACCCGCTTTCCAGCAAAGTTATCAGTCAGTGCTCCGAACTTTTTGGCCACTCCCAGCTGCCTCAGTCTGGTGTTTGGTTGAATAAACGTCCTGCCAACGTAGCGGTTCTTGCACAAAACCTCTATGTATGGCAAACCAGACTGATGGAAAAGCAGAAATGTAAGATGTAAGATAAAACTGCATATTATTGCTTCTAATATTTCATTCGATTTTTTTCTATTGATGTGCAAAACTAGATTATTAAAGCAACATATAAATAGGTTACAATGTCCTGTATAAATGAGGATAAAAATAACATCTTTCCCATTTAGCTAATATGATTCTTGAGCAGGTTCGTGCGAGGAAGACTCACCTGTTGTGCATATCCCAGGGCAGCAGGGGTAGCAGATTCAGGGACAGTGCTGACCACATCTGCATTTGTAGGGGCTTCAATGGCCAACTGCCGACCACAGCGCTGCCTCACAGTATACACCATCTGACCTGAAGAAAACTAAAACATTTTAATTTATTACAATAAATGGAGAGTAAACTTACAAGTCTTACCCTCAAATATTGAGTCTGGTCTGGCGAAGTAAACATATTCAAATATACAGAAGGCGGGGAGGTCTCCTTCTGGACGAGGGACAATGGTCAGAGACTTGACTCCATGTTTAGAGATTTGTATAATTTCTCCTGGCAACACTTCTCTGTAGTACCTGATAATAAAAGGTACATCAAGTTGTTACACATCATAATAGAACATAAAATAATTTTTCACATAATGCCTGAAACTAACCTGGCGCCAATGGACTGAAAGCTGCAAGACTCTGAAGACACGACCCATCCTTCGGTGTCCTCCTCCTCTACTCCTGAAGATCAAACAAAAAGGGAATAATGATTTTCCAGTTCAAAACTGACCTTTGATGAAACTGCCAAAGGTCATGTTACAGTTCAACTCAACTCTGATAACCTGTTCTGTGTAAAGAGCCAATCTTTATCGTCATTTCATATTTGTGTTCTTTTTTTTTTTTTCATGACGTATATTGTGGTGGCTGTGATGCAATCTCAATGTGTCTTATAGTTACTTTACCTGAACTGTGCAGTTTTGAGATGGGGACCACTCGCCCGATGCAGAGGGGCCGATTCCCATACGGGTCTCTCACAGCATAGATAACATCTTTGAACATCATTAACAGTGAGTAGGATGTAGGAGTCTCTGTCATAAGGTTTTTAATTCTACAAAACATAAACAAAAAATAATATACACAAATCCTTTTACAAGTGCATCTCATGCACTGTCACCAAAAGGTCCTGTAATGCTTTGTTTAGGCTTAACTATCTTTGTACACCTTAGCACCTTGCTATTGATACTTTGCAATGATGTCACACTGGGGTGTTCTACATGCATGTATATGCTGTAATGTTCAGCAGTTACTATGGCACACATTAGCAAACACAGAGGCCGCCTGGCTAGATTCTCTGGTTAGCTCAAAAAGTGCGAAGTTGCACTTCCCTCACCATTCATTTTCATTAGGATTTAGCAAAGTCTTAAATATCAGGCAGAGGACAGCAAGTTACGGATGGATAATCACAGACAGCATGTTAAGATCTTTATGACGAAAGAAGTACTTAACCAGAGGAAGCTCTCAAAATACAACACAATACAACTTTATGAAAGCATGACACAATACAGACAAGTCGATTTATCATACAAAGAAAAACAGATTGTAATGCTATTTTATCATCAGTAATTAATTTTCATTTTAATTATCATTAGCATTAGCATAAAGACACAAACACCTACTTTTATGAACACAGAAGCTTCCTCCAGTGAAATATTTACATCACAGTAAAGATCCTGACATGCGGTCTGTGAACAGCAAGTGTTGGATATTCATCCAACACTTGCTGTTCGCTGCCTGATATTTAACATTTGATTTATTTTAGTGAGGTTTGGCTAAATGCTCATAGAGAATGAATGGAGCGGGTAGTGAGGATTCACACTTTTCAGAGAAGTGGAATTAGTCAGTGGGTATCAGTGTGAAAAGAGCCTATTGAAAAGGGATCCTGACTAACGATACAGGGTGTTCACATTTAGTGCACGCTGTGGAATGGCACACTATTCTTTGACGAGGGAGCTGCCTTTTGCAGCCTGTCTTACCCTCAGCTATAGTATTTAGTGCATTAATCCACTGACCTGGCAACCCAGTCTGGGTTGTCCAGCTCCTCCATGGGTGGAGTGAGGGCCAGCAGCTGTGTGATTAGTTCACTGTCTGAACTTGTGGACAGGCCCACACCATGACGCATCACCTGAAAGACAATCATTCTTTCACTTCATAGCATTTTCTGTAGCAAAGCCACTACATTAATAATTGAATGAGTGATATAAATACAGAAAAGCTTTGAAAGTACTATGAGTACTGCTGAGAATTACATCCTACTTTTATTTTGTGCATAAATAATATGATTTATCTTTAACAGATTTATACAGTATCCAAATCCACATCATATTTCCAGTGTTCACCTTCTTCCTAAGTGCCTGTGCGTTCACCAGCTCTCCATTGTGAGCCACAGCAATTTTGCCATGCAGTGTGTCCACCACAAATGGCTGACAGTTCTGCAGCTCTGAGATCCCAGTCGTTGAGTACCGTGTGTGGCAGATCCCCAGGTTTCCATGGCGCAGTTTCTGGAGGGCGTCAGGGGGGAAGGCAGTGCTCACCAATCCCATCCCCTTACAGGAGGCACAACATTGTAATGCAGATAGAGAACTGGCTTTAAAATGTGTGGTTCTATCTTTTCGGGAAGTGGTAAAGTTAGAACTTTATTCATTCTGAAATTCACTTAGATTAATACAAGCAAATTTGGCAAATATACCATTGTAATTTTGGGCATGTTTTTTACTGGAACAGTTCCAGATAAATCTCTTTAATCTAAACCGGTTTCAGAATATGTATTATTGAGATATGAATCAACTATGCTAACTTTATGGTAAATGGTCACATTTTTCTATAGCGCTTTTCCACCTTCAAGGCACTCAAAGCGCTTTACAACAAGGAACCACTCACCCATTCACACACCAGTGTACGCAGACACTGTGGGCAAGGTGGGCTAAGTGTCTTGCCCAAGGACACAACAACAGCATTCACCTGTGGGAGCTGGAATCACACCAGCCAACCTGTGGGTCATTTGATCTGACCGCTCAACCTGTGATGTTTATGTTGAGAGATGGATATAAAAAACAATATTATGTTTTATAAATTAACTTCAAAGTATAGACAACTCTAAGTAATCTTTATGGTCTTGTAGGTGGCATCTGTTCCCTGTTCCAATCATTGTATTTTAATGTACTACAAACTACTGTACTATATACAAATGAGTCTTATAAGTTAACTAAATGGCTGCAGTAAATATTTTTCATGTAACAAACCTGGACTGACATGTCTTTACCTTGTGGGCGGTGTATGTGGGTGGGCTGGCTCCATTACTTGTGACGATCCCTGCACTCTCCTGCCCCCTGTGGAGGCAACCAAATCACATCTGAAGCACAATTGCAAATTGGACTCATCCATGTGGTTTTAGCAAGACGGGACATGCTAAGGCTTTAACAATCTCTTAACAATCCCTATGCTATTTAACCCTAAGGCTAAGGCGAATGACAAAACTGGTTTCCCATGGCATATTGCCCCATCTCCAAAAGAGTTTGCATTGAAAGTGACCTAAGTTAATAAATATGGGCATAACAGACATAATTCGGGACAAATGATGTGTGGGAAACCATTATACAACTTAAAAATGTCAGGGAGCATTACTTTTACCACACTGGTCACATCAAATTTTGACTAAATTAGGATTTTAAGCACAGATGTTAGCAATTCAAGTCAAGTATTATTATTTATTTTATATTTTTTCAGCACAGTGTTGAGTCCAGACTTCTTATTAAGCAAAACCTCCAGTAAGAGACAGACGTTGCGAGGAAGCAGCTTTCAGTTCAGTATCTGAGAATCGTCAAAAATGTATGTAGTGAATGTCCTATAATAAGCTATTTAAGGATGCTTATACCACGGTCAGTGAGATTTCCAATGGCTAACTACTGTGCGGTAATACTGCGTAACACACAAGTAGTCTGGCAAAAGCCAAATCATTGTTCTATATCACGGATAAACAAATGCTCAACTGCTGTGTATGAATGTAATAACAAGCACCATTAAAAAAACATTGACATAATTGATTTTTTGGAAATTTACAGACAGCGAACAGAATTTAAAATAACTAATATTTGACATATATATTCATATTCAGTTTTAATGCATTAAAACGCATGACACATGGCTCCTTGTTGATTAATGCTTAGGCCTACTTAACATTTTGATTGTCTTGTGTGTCATTTAGCCAAAAAGATAAAAACACACTCTCAAAGAGCATGATTGAAGTTGATGATGAAGTCTGATCAAAAGCTGCTTTTAATATGTAAATGTGGCTATTGGGTTGAAAACGTTTTGGTGAAACTGCCACAACACTTAAGCCACTTATAAAAGCAGTTTTCTGTATTAAATGGGAGATGTAATTAGACTTGCTGGCTCCCATTTCAGGAGGCACAGCCAGATGGGGGATGGTAAAGAAGAAAAATATCTTAAGTATGTCTGTCCCAACTGGCTAAGCAAAGGTGTGCATTTTAAAATTGATGTCAAACCAACAAGATCCGAATCAGAATAACAACACCAGAATTAATGTACACCCAGTCATGTTTGTAGTAGTCTGAAGTTCTTGATTAAATCTGGAAAAACAAGCCACTTGTTTTTCACTCTGAGCTGCCATATTGCTGCAGTTTCTCAGTCTATTCACCAAGCTGCTTCTCAAATTACAGCCAGCCCCTCCCCCACAGCACACAGCTTAAGCCAGTCATAAGGCAGCTCTCAGGAACAGAGGCGTAGCTAACGGGCTTAGCCGCCTGGTTGCCTAGGGAACGAGGCAGCAGTGCCAGACGGGGGATGGTGCAAAAGACAGAAAAGCAAAGCAAGCGTTTCATTTGAGGTCAGCTCAGACATGGAGAAGAGAGCACAGAAACAAAGAGGAGGTGAGAATGTCCCTTTGGAGAGCGCGGTGCAGTGGGCAGAGGCAGAGGTGCTGGCCCTGATGAAAGTGTGGGGCGAGTTAGGGCCTCGAGAGGAGACCAGAGCCACATACGAGCTGCTCTCAGACGGTCTGAGGAGGCTCAGGGTGCTGCGCAGCTGGAGGGAGTGCCAGGCCCAGTGCAGGAGTCTAGGACTGCACTGCACCAACACCAAAGAGGAGGACCCAGGGCTAGACTACAACCCAGAGAGGCACAGAACGGACCCCACAGCAATGAAGGAGGACTGGGAAGAGGAGCATGGAGGGGGCAACAGCAGAGGAATGTTCCAGTCGTCAATGCAGGAAGGTAAAGAGTCAGAGTCTAGCATGTGTTTGCAAAGTCCACACAAATACTTGTAAGGGAAGTTTGAAAGTTGTTCTAAAACTCACTCAGCACAAAACTTATTAAGAACATTTCATTTAATAATTTAAATATATTTATAATATAAAAATCTAAATAAACCAAATGGATTTGAGTAAAAACATGCAGTCTTGAACAAATATTAATATTATTGCCATATTTTTTACAGGAATGAAGGTCATTGTCCATCGCGCACTGTCCTACAATGCTAGCACCCCTGAAGAAGGTGGTCGTCACTGGTCAGACGACGAGGTGAGAGCGCTCCTGTGTGTTTGGGCCGACAAGAACATCCGGGAGCGCCTAAAATGTACGCTACGCAATAAGACCATCTTCCAAGAAATGTCCCGCCTGATGGAGAAAAACTTTGGGATCGTACGCAATTGGAAGCAGTGTCGCACCAAATACAAGAACCTGAAATATGACTACAAAACTGTGAAAACAACTCTTGATGCAGGTGGCAGCAGTAGTGTAGCAGGACCCAACAAGTACATGAAGTTTTTTGAGGAAGTGGAGGCCATAATGCTGGACCATGGATTGGAGCGGGGGTCCCTGGACATGCAGAAGAGAGTGTTCGATGGAGAAATGGCAACACTAAATACAACAGGCTCTGAAAATGAGGCGGTCATTGAAATCGACGATGGTAAGCATCAAGATGGTAGTGAAATATTCAGAAAAATGTCTGCTATGGGAAATTGTGAACTCATTCATAAAATTCCATTAGAGGAGATGGAGTATTTTTTTTAAATACAAAACATATTTTTTTGTTTTATATAACTTTTACCATTATGTGAACAGAAAATACAGTATTTATCTGTATTTTCTATAATGAAACTAAGGATGCTTTGTTTGATATAATTTATTGTTCCTAGATGAGAACAGCGATGAGTATGATGGTGATGGAGAAGTGGACACTGGGAACTGGAAAGGAACTGGTAAATATAACAGAAAACAACAAAATTATGTTTTACTGAAATTGATAGACAAGCAGATTTTCGAGTACTAATACTTAATCTTCATCACATTACAGATGCATCAAGCTCTGACCAAATCCAAGTGGTAACCATTTCAGACACAGGTCGTAACTGGAGTGACCAGGAAGTGAGAGCTCTCATCCAGGTTTGGTCTGACGAGCGCGTTCGAACACAACTGGAAAGCTCAACGAGAAAGAGGGACATTTTTATCCAAATCTCAAACTTACTGATGCAGCAGGGCATAGAGCGTGACTGGAAACAATGCCATACAAAGTACAAGAACCTTAAGTACCTGTACAGGTCTCTACAGAGGAGCAGGACAGAGAAGTCGGACCCCAGGCACCTAATGCGTTTCTATGAGGAGTTGGACGCCATTATGAATCGTCCCAAAAATAACAGTATACACAGCTCACCACACGATACTACAGCACACATGGACTATAGCCTGGACACTGCACAGATCCCCACTTTGGACAATGATGACCAGACAGATGCATATTTGCCCAAAGTTAATGTCACATCCATCGCTGCACAGCCAGGAAGCACCTCTGAATCTGGGCTCTCAATGGCCTTTGATCTTACGCCCAGCACTCAGGAGCAGAGGACACACACAAACAGAGAAAACTGCATGAACAAACAAGCCAATCAGCCTGGTAAGACAGTGAGCAAAACAAATATGTCACTGAAATTTGTGTTTACCCACCAACCAAAGGGTCATGGGATCAATCCTGGTTATGTGTCTTAAGAAGTCAGTGTGTCAAACAGTCCCACAATTTGCCCACTTTGGAACAAATAGGTCATCCAGTATTACCATGAAACATAACTAAAATTTATACTTAATGGACTTTAAGCATAAACTACAAATTATTTACGAAATTATTAAATAAGAGCCAATGTGCTTAATCCAGTAACAAATATCTGTACATCTAACTATATAATATTACTATACTATAGGCTCCTTTTATAATGACAATATTTGTTGCAATAACGATATGCAATAATATAATAATGTATGTATGTCATAACTTTGAACTACCATTACATTTTGGGGGTACACATTTTGTCTTGTATAAGTTTAGTAACTAATGGCCTTTTAAAAAATGTTATCCTAATGGTTTTCTGCAGTCCATTTGGAGAAAAGACCAGAAAGAATTAATCTTCCTTCAACAAACCGCGGACAGAAGAGGAAAGCTGAGGATCAAGGTTTGATTTCTATCTTCTGCAGTTATCACTTTGTCACATGACCTCAACAATTGCCTTCTGTGACTTGTCTAATCTTGTCACTTGGTCTCATGATGCTGACATGGGCCAGTAATGTGGTTTAAACCTGTGGTTATCACTGCTAACAAAGCTACTCAACTCAATATTGTCTCTTACCAGAGCAAGATAACAAGTTAGATCTAATGATCTGTCAACAGATGTCTGATCAATAATGGAACAAAAAAACAAAAACACGAATGCCAAAAAAGTTGATATTATGCCTTTTTTTTTTTTTTTTTTTTTTTATCTTTGACTTTCAGCACCCATAACCCAATCCATAACAGGAAAAAGAATTAACACAGGAATCAACACTGTTCAAAGGGTGGATTGTTGCAAAGAAGAGCAAGGACATTTTCCCATAATAAAAATCAATTCAGTTCATTCAATGGCCTCATCTGACACATCCCAAGACACCCAGGTAAATACCAATCGATGTAAAACTTGCCAGAGTGTTCTAACTTTGATTATGTGCAGGGGAGACAAAAATGGACTATGCACCCAAGATCATGAGAGTAGTATAGATCATTTTCAAAAGAATGTTTACCTGTGCTGCAAAGCTACAAGACCCAATGTCAAGATCTGGGCGACCTCCAGTTGGGTGGGCCAATCTCCAGCTGCTACACACCCGAAAACCCCACACTCTTCCCCTATACCCGACTCTTCAAACTCCATCCCGCGGCGTGCGTCTGCTGCTGCTTCTCTGTGCGTCAATCTGAACCTGGCGCTTCTACCACGTGCTGCCAAGTTTGTGTAACAACGTGGCTTGATAAAATGACTAAAGCGATGGTGACATCCTCCTCCGAGTGTCCTTGAAAAGTTCAGGCAGTAAAAAAAATCCAACTTTTAGATAAGAAAAAAGCTTGAAGTTCTATCAGAAGATTCGCGGTGGTCAATTATTGTGGATATAGCGCATGAATCAATCAATTTTCGGTTAATCAATCAACACGTGGTCTTTAACGATGAAGGAAATAGACCCACGTGTAGTTTTTTAAATAAGATATTTTGCTCTTGTTCATTAAACTAATTCAATCTATGTTCTTGTCCAAAAGAAAACGCAAGCAGATGGCGATAATCTCGAAAAAGTTCTCCATCCTTCTCTCACAAACATTTGATGTACGAGACATCTCCTAACACGTGGTAGGGAACGCTGAAAGTGATTGGTCAGTCTCATCAGGTAGTGTGATCTGATTGGTTTAGAGACCACGTAAGAATACTCCACTTCCCTCTTTCTGGACTGCACGCTTCTTGCAGCCTCGGCATCTCCCTCAACTTCCCGCAAAGTTTCTATTTCATTCATTTCTTGATTTTAGGATCTCGGATTTTTTCAGACGACCATGGCATCCACAACAGGTAAAATACTGTCAATTTATTGCATCTTATCGTTGCATGCAGTGACATTTTCTCACGCACATGTTTTAATTATACATTTTTAGAGTTGAAAGTTGGCCAAAAACTGAACGAAGGCAAGACGAAGCAGATCTTTGAGCTCGTGGATCAGCCCGGACAGGTCCTGGTCCAGTCCAAGGACCAAATCACGGCTGGGAATGCTGTGAGGAAGGATCAGATGGAGGGGAAGGCTGCCATCGCCAATAAGACCACGAGCTGCGTGTTTAAGCTGCTGCAGGAATCTGGTGAGACAATGTGACAGTTATAAAGGCAACAATAAGCATGAGTACACCGTGTCCACAACTTTGTGCCCGAGCATTTTCCCTCATAGGTAGCTCCCACTCAGGTTGTCCTATGCCTTGAACTCAACTGTACTCAACTTACTCTAAATAACCCTATCTGTAAACGGTCGCGATTAATTTTGGAGGCCTGCCAGCAATTCAGATAGGATGACCCAGATGTTTCCAACTTGAGTAAATTCTGAAGAAAAAAAAAAAACATTGAGTACAGTGATCTATAAAGTAAAGGCAGTCTAGGCCTTCGGTAACCTTTCATCCCTGTTCACCAATACAATTGACTGATTAGAATTATTATTTTGTCCATGCAATTTTTTTGAGTTTCTTTAAATAACATTCTGGTTGAAATACAATTAAATAATAACAACCAAAGAAATATCTCTTTTATCCTCAATATGTAATGGATGAACCCATGCTTTATTTATGAAATCTTGTACTTGGATAATAATTAATGTGTCATGCATGACTTCAGATAAAGGGTCATGAGGGGACTGAGGTCGTACTCTTGAACAAATACAACTTTTGGCCTATTTACCTTTGGTACGCAGTGGAGCTGGCAACCATTTGGTTCTTATTACCAACTTTAAATGACCTGAGGAAACTTTAATTGAAAATGGTAACTCGTCTCACATGATGTCACTCGTGTGTCAGCCGACTTCCAAATTACAAACTGGTGACTTTGTGCCTTCAATTCAGAAAGATGTGACCAAATGTTATTTTTAGGACCGCGGCAGATAAAGCACCTGATGGATAATTGAATTGTCCATTTTCTACTTTCTTACTGTATTAGCAATAATGTATGCAATTGAATAATGATGGCAATTTTTTTCCCCTAAATTTTCAGGTGTTAAAACTGCCTTTGTAAAACAGCACTCGGACACAGCGTTCATTGCAGCACATTGTGAAATGATTCCTATTGAGTGGGTTTGTCGACGTATAGCAACAGGTTCCTTCCTCAAAAGAAATCCAGGAGTCAAGGAGGGCTACCGCTTTTCTCCTCTCAAGATGGAGATGTTCTTCAAGGTTCATTCTCTTAATTGTATACTGCCACATTTTTGTCATTGTGCCATGTCTGATGTCATCCATGTTTTCCAGGACGATGCTAACAATGATCCCCAGTGGTCAGAAGAGCAGATTCTTGCAGCCAACTTCAACCTGGCAGGACTCACAATTGGCAAATGTGAGGTGGACATTATGAGTCGCAGCACTGTGGCCATTTTTGAGATTCTGGAGAGGGCCTGGGCCACTCAGGACTGCACTTTGGTTGATATGAAGGTGAGCTGTGCAACACTGCCCTCTGCTGTTCAGTTGAGATGGGTAGAGTGACCAAAACTTTATTCTCATAAAGAGTAGCATTGGTTGAAATATTGTTCAAGAAAGCAGTTATTTAAATAAATGCTCAAGACTAAAAAATATTATATGGTTCAATGATGTGAACAGAAATCTTAATGAGCCAATTCAAGCATTTAGTAATTGCTAAATCAGTACATTAATCCAAAATGCATACTGTTGTATAAAGGGGGACAATGACCATTACTCGTCATAAACCGTTAGTTTTGTTTAAAAGTCACTGAGCGAATGTACTGCCCACTTCTGCTGTTCGTTAATGTAAGTACATATTGAACATCATTGATACAATCTGAATATATTGTGCTTTTCAGATTGAGTTTGGAGTGAATGTAAAGACTCAAGAGATTGTCCTGGCTGATGTAATTGACAATGATTCTTGGAGGTTGTGGCCATCCGGTGATCGAAGCCAACAGAAGGACAAGCAGGTACCCATTGTCTGAAATTTTGTTTAGTTTTAGTTTGTCCCAGATTTTGAGTTTATCTGTCTATCTCCAGGTATATCGAGATCTTAAGGAGGTTACACCTGAAGCAATGCAAGTGGTGAAGAGAAACTTTGAGTGGGTTGCAGAGAGAGTGCAGGTATGCTTGTATTTCCAACATCCTTTCCTTACTTCATTATAACAATAATTTTACTGTAATGTATATTCAGCTTCTGCATGAGTCCCAAACTAATGGCAGAGTGGTCGTCTTGATGGGCTCCACCTCGGACATGGCTCACTGTGAAAAGATCAAAAAGGCCTGCACGTCTTATGGCATTCCTTGCATTTTGAGAGTTACCTCTGCACACAAGGGCCCAGATGAGACGCTTCGTATTAAGGCAGAATATGAAGGTTTGTATAGATTTATCTTTTCTAATTGTAGTGATGACAAGCCAGGATTTTTCTTCACATGTGTATTTTTTTAGGTGATGGCGTGCCCACTGTCTTTGTAGCTGTAGCGGGCAGAAGCAATGGTCTTGGTCCAGTCATGTCTGGAAACACAGCTTACCCAGTGATCAACTGTCCTCCTCTCACTCCAGACTGGGGAGCTCAAGATGTGTGGTCGTCTCTCCGCATGCCAAGTGGTAATATGAGCACCAGTAACTCTCTGGGGCTATTACAAAACTCTAATGATTCTCGATTGAGGAGTAATTGGGACTACAATCAGAATGGGATTGGTTTGTCTTATAATTGTTCATGTGTAGCAGTGTTTGGACTGTTTTTAATTGTTTGCTTTATTTAGTCAAGTCTAGTTTATTGATTTGATATTGTCACTGCCAGATTACTATAAATCCTAAATTGACTACTCACTGCTTGAGGCTAGTGAGGCTACGTTAGAGGTAAATTAATGCATTTCCATAATAGTCTATTTGTTTTATCTTCTTAGGTCTTGGCTGCTCCACCATCCTTTCTCCTGATGCTGCAGCCCAGTTTGCCGCACAGATCTTCGGACTAACCAGTCACCTGGTTTGGTGCAGGCTCAGGGCGTCCATGCTCAACACCTGGGTCTCTTTAAAGCTGGCAGACAAAAAGCTCCAAGCCTGCAGTATCTGAGTGCTATTGTTAAAACTGTACTTCCTACTTTCACTTTCTGTTGGCCAACTAACTACTCCATAGTTCTACACTTTTTACTTGCTGCATTCCATTAAAAATAGATCTCTTGACTCTCTGGTGACTCTTGTATGTGTATTTTGGCTGCTCATTTAGATAACGGGGAAACATGATTATTTGGTTGATAATTGAAAGAATAATTTTCAAATGTGAAACTTGAACTCAAAATCTAATGCAGAGTCCGTCGACCCAAGTCAAACTAGAGACCCTTATGAGGCTAGCTCAATGCCTTACAGAGGCGAGGCAAAATGTCTATTGAATTAATATACACATATGTTATAGGTCTAAAATCCTATTAAGTGGGGAACAAGTCCCTTAAGGCTGTGAAGTGTGTATGCAACACAGAAGTAATGCCACTAGAGGGAGCTCATAGACTTGTTTGGCTAGAGCAAATTTAACCTTTTAAATTCGTTCCAGTAATTTTCAGCCAAGGGAATGACTAACTGCATGGCACAATTTGATTTCATTTCAGTTCTATTATAGGGTTTTTTTCATAAGACTTTCAATCATGGCTTTAACAACCTCTGATGATGAATCTTGGCTTGTGTGTGGGCGGTAGTGGGAGGAAATGCCGAGGGTAGAGTGTGGTATTATATTGGATATGTATTCCTCTGCAATTGAATTTTAACCTGACTTTCACGCCTAGAAAATACAGTTGGTTGCACATATTCAAGCATGTAGATTAGCTGTGCATTAAAAATATAAAGCATAAAAACCTACATCTGTGTTTCCAAGGTGACTGTAACCTGGCAACAATTGGCCCGTGTACACCAAACAGCATCTCTGTGTCCCCAATTATATTTGTATTCTGAGCTTTTTAGAGCATTTTGGAGCTTACAAATGTCTTGGATACCAGAACAGCTGAAAGTACAACAACATGAATCACCAGCCAACTCACTAATGAGATTTGATGTGTGATCAGGCTTGTGCTGTCTATAGCCACTGGCGCTTTGAGTAAAAATGATGACACTCCCAGATTCAGAAAAGCTGTTTTTTTATTTTGAGGGTGAAATTTTAGTAGGCCTATAACTACTTTATTTACATATGGTCTACAACAATTATCCATTTTCTCTCGTAAGAAACATTAATATCATAAATTATAAGAATCATTACTATAGTATTGAACCTATGATGTGCACTCACAACTGCGTCCCGATGACGTAGCATGTTTATAATCACGCTCCCTTTGTCTCTCTCTGTAAACATACCTCTCCCAAAGGCCCAATTTACCTTGATCAAGCTAAACATTATGTCCGCCTGCCTATTTGGGGCAGTGAGGCGATTATAAGTGCCATCTGCTTGATATATAATCTGGTATATGCAATAAACTGAAACTCTCATTCTCATAACCAACATCTAACTTACTTAATTATCCTAAATGTGTATTACCCTATTGCCAGTTTAGCAGAGTAAATCACTTTTGATAGCACGCTGAGAATACTGAAGATTGGGCCCACTTGTCTAGACATCATAAGTTAACCCTTGTCTAAATCAAACTGTGTACTTGCCATTTTGCACTATTAACAGTATTATTCTTACATCTCCTGTCAGTGGTCATAATGCTATGCCTGATCACTGTATATTTGTTCACTACATTCTTAGGTTACCATTCCCGTTTATTATTACAGGGCTCCGAGATCATGGCACGAGCGTGATTTTTGCCTCAGAAACTTGCCCACCTCGCGCTCTTTTGGGTAGCGTGGGACAAGGCTGGACAGGAAACGTTTGGCCCGGGACGTGATGCTCTCTTTTTGGCCTCCTCCGCTCATGTCCTCCACACAGGTCCCGGGGGGCCAAGGGGACTGACCCCTCGCTAACCGCACTGCACACTCAAGCAGCTCTGGCGTCCGGTGGTCCAGAGAGGCAGAGATCTCCAAATACAGGCAGTTGTAGAGGGCAGCGCTGGATACAGCCTCTGACAGAAGGACAAAGAAATGTTAAATAGTTTATTATTCATTTAGCTTAAGGTACACTTTGCTGTCACTATAAGTCTTTTTTTTCACCCATCCTTAAGTGCTAGAGCAACTGGCATCTAGGAACTCTTCACCAAATCTGGAGTTTGGTTTGGTCAGAGCTACCCTAGCTGGAAAACTAACCTATTGTGCATGTTTTATGTTGGATGGGGTACTCTGTACACTCCACAGAGAAAGCCTACACACAGCCAGTAGCTTTTTTGGTCAGGTTACTACAGCAGGCCAGTCAGTCAGTTACACGTTTCTTGCAAAATTTACAAAGGCTCACTGGATTCCCTTCTTTTCTCAATCATGATTGGGCATTATTATAGATTAAGTGTGTCTGCATTGGGTCGAAGTTTGAACCAGCAGCTGTTCAGTTGGTGGGCAAATACTAAGTCTACGTATAATCATTCTAAATCAAAGCCAGTATACTCTTAGCGGCTGTATCAAGGCTGGATAAAACCGGGAGAAGGTGGCATTGGGGAGGCCATCCAGGGTAAAACCAAATAACTGTGAATCATGGCCAGCTGATTTGAACTGCAACCTTATAATGCCAAAATGATAAATGACCACAGCACGCAAGTATAATTTTGCATGGTTGAATAACAAAATGAATAAGCTCTGCAGAGAAAACCAATTTATAGTTTTAGAGTGTGCTTAAAATTCATTGCTAGTGTTGAACATAACCATTTGAGAAACATTAAGAGTAGACTGTATCTCGGCTGGTGAAGATAAATTGAAGTTAATAATGTGTTTGGGCACACAGTAAGTGCTTTCGTTTATGCAGTCTTTTACACTCCCACATTACACTTGAGAACAGCAAATTACAATACATTTACATTAGTATTATGTGTTATGTCTTTATGCAAACAGTGGTAAGTAAGTAGTAAGTAAGACTTGTTTTTATGAGCTGGAGTTCCCAAATTTTCAGGCTGGGAACCACAAAATAGCCATGCATGCGCCCTGGGAGCACACTGCAAAATAACACTGTCATCTGTAGTAATTTCAGTTTGCAAAACCTTTAAAATCCACGTTGAGAACCACTGGGAAATAGAATCTGTAATCTCAGTTTAACTCTGCATTATCTTAACTCGCACCGATCTACCGTCTGCCATTATTGAAGATCATAGCAATTGAAACAAAATCTCAATTTGAATGGTCACTAATAGCAAATGCCAAAGTCTGTGGTTATTTAGGTAATATAAACAAAATTTAACAAAATAACCATGTGTTTTCCCCATGGCCTACTCATGTATAAAATTGGTTAACCCTAAAAACCTCTATAAAGATGTTCTGACATTCTTGTGGTAGTTTACCAGTCCAGATTTCAGACAGATCAAACAGTGCACTCGATATAGCAACCATTTGATATCCATAACATCTAAAATGACTTATCTTTATAAATATTGATGAATACATACATAATACATAAGGCTGATGAAGCGTTTTTCAAACAGAACAACAACGCTTTGCATTTGAGCACTGAGAAAAAACCCCTGAATGAATTCAAGTGAGTCTGATTTTTTTTTTTTACAAGGTTTAGTGCTTTTTGTTTGTTTGTTTGTTTGCTTAATGCAACTCTCTGCATACTTTCCTCCACCTTCTCCTTTTATTGATCAGACTTTGAATGGCTCTGAGTGGCAGGTGAATGTAACCAATCACAGTGAAGAATGAACACCCACTATAACTTTTAATTAGCATTATAAATAAACTACATTAAATAATTATGACAAATGAAATAACCAATAAACTGTAATGTAGAAATAGATGAATAGGGGCTTGTTACCTTGAGCTGTAACCTCTCTGGTCCTCACAAGGTCACTCTTATTGCCCACAAGGATTATGGGAGTTTGGGGCTGGTTCTCTCTAAGGAGCAGTCGTAGTTGAGCTGTGCGGTGGAAACTTCGTCTGTCTGTGACCGAAAACACCAGCACACAGACCTCACACTGTAGCATGGACAGGTCCTGACACACACAAATACAGTTACATAACCATTGTATATATCACATTATCATGGAAGAATAATGGGCTGATTCACCATTGTGCTTAGAGATGAAAGCTGTGATTTAAAGCTTTCAGATGTCAGTAGCAGTGTCATAAATGTCTATTATTAAAATGTCATTGACAAAAGCAGTCTGATTTTAGATCTTGAGCCCATTTAGACATATTGTTGGAATTGTCAGTTGAAAAAAAGGACAGTTCTTTTGTATGTTCTTTTCAGAGGTCACCACCAGAAAATGTTGTATTTTTATTTCTGCTTTCCAAACTATGGATGTAACAATGAAATACATTTAACTTTATAAAGGGATGACTTTACAACCACAGTCAAATTAAACCACAGTCCAAACAAACTAACATCCCCTTGGTTTGTTTTTGGAATGAGGTAAACTCCAGGGCTGTGTAACTAATCATATTTTTATTGAGATAGAGAAATCAATAATTTCTAATTGTCAATGATCAGCTTGGGCCTGTTTAATTGCGATGTCTACAGCTAATCCCCTGTTGGTTAAAGCATGTGGTTTTTTGGATTTCAGACTTTGAAGGTAGAAATTATTCAAAGACTTATTAATGTTCAAAAGTAATAATATTGATATTAAAATTAATGTTGATAATAATAACAACACAATAAAATCATATTGAAAAGAAAGGGGGGAAATTGTCATATCACCCAGCTCTAGGGTAAACACAAAAGTACAATGGCTCTGGAAAAAGATGAAAAACAATAACTAAGCCAACTATAAAACCTCTTCTTTTAGTTGCTTAAGCTAATGACATGAGTGCAATTACATAAGGCCAGGCTCCCTAGGGAGTGCCTATATCTACCTTCCTGTCTGTCACACAACAAAGGAAGCTCATTATGGAGAAACACACACTGTCTCCATCAAAAACTGCCTTGATGTGCAAGTGTGCATATGAACTGCACATGTGTAGACCTGTGTTATATCTGTGGGGATGAGACAAATTATAGTTATACCCACTGACTGAATATTGGCACAAATATTACATTGGATTGAACTACATTTTATCAGTACCATCTGTAGAAAAGAAACATTTTTATCATCAGGCTCTCAGACTCCTTAGCTCTAGTACTAGAACTTTATGACGCACTACAGTGCTATCTCAGTGTAATTTGTTTTTATGTATAAATGTACTTATCTACGTGTTTATGTGAAACTGTGTAAATACTTTTTTATGTTAATATAGTTTTCTTTAGCCAGTTGACTTTGTGTTAACTTGTATGACAAATAAATCAAAATCTTTCTATTTACTCTATCTAACCTATTTTTGCAGTTGGTATTGTGAGCCCTGTATATCAGATATTTGGATTGAATTGTGAAATACCCTGTGATTCCTAACCCTAGTTTTGTGTGCGTGATAAATTTGTCCACACATGAACCTAAATGTGTAGCCATCATTTGGCACATCTGCTCCGTGGGCCGCTCATCCCTCACAGATGAACACTCCAGGGACGAGAAGGAAAACTGTGCAAAACAAGCTGATAATGAGCCTCCTCACTCAAACCAGGAGCAGATGCAGCTCAGCCATTGTCCCCCTTTCGCCTTTCTCTCGAGTCACTGCCAATTTATTTTTGTTTGTTTAGAGCAAACAATGGAACTCGCTGATCAAATACTGAGCAGATATAGTACAATGGAAATGAGTCATGGCTGGGAAAAGAATACACTGCATGTTAGCAATTAGGTTTTTTGTTTGGGTTCATTGCATGTATCGCCTCCATGCTTATGAAACATGACATGTAGTCCATTGTGTTTTGTATTATTATTATCTATTTTTAGCCAGTAGAAGTAGACTTTATTTTTTTTAATACATTTTAAGGCACACAGTGTAACTCCATGGAGATGTTATTGTTTTACTGTAAATTAATTTATCACACACTTATTCAATTACAGATGTTTTATTGCTAAAAATACCATGAAAAAACATGCATTTGTACTGTGAGTTGGCTCACGTAGCCACAAATCTAACCTGCAACATGGCCTAACTATAACTTCTTCATGGAAATATGCAAGTAGAAAACCCTCAACCACAAAAAGTGACATAGTGCACCTTTAAAGTAATTGATAAAATAAAGCTACTGTAAATTTTTGAATAAAGTAATGGATGGGTTTTAGTGTAATAACATTTTGAAGAAGAAATAATGGACATCATTTCTCCACAGAAGAATCTACGCCCAATCTATATAGAGGCAGGTGATTAGCTAAAAACAAAAAGAAAAAAAAAAATAGATACAACCAGCAAAATCCCCATTTTTCCACATATTACGCACATATCTTGGGCTATCTGGTGCAATCAATGTAACACTCCACTTGTGAGGAATGCAAAATAGCCACAGGGGCTCCATCGGAAATGGTCAAATGCCAAATTAATGTGCAAATTAGTACACACCAGGGGGTATACGATTTGTGTGGCAACCTCAATTGGGAAAAGCTCAGAGAGAGAAAAAATGCTAAGTACTTCTAAAACTATTGCTAGGCATTCTCAAAGAATGTAACAGATATAGATAATATAGACAACACTGTTCCCCGATGGAGACTGTGGAGCTACTTTGTGTTCGTAGTAAAATAAAATCATATTATCGTTTGTGGCATATTGTGCACTCAACTTTTTTTTTTTTTTTTTGGCATTTTTGAAGCATATCTTAATCTATACCCTATTTACTCTAAAAGATCAAATTTACAGAAAAGCCAACTGAACCACCACCCCCTTTGAAGAAATCAGATAGTTCTCTGGGTCAATAAGCACAATATTATTTGTCACAATTACAGATACAGTAAACTTTGACAGCCTTATTATTGAGTCAGTAGGACTCTTGCTGTAGAGGAGGAAGTGCTGCTTGGCTTACCTGTCTCCAGTTGTCATAGATAACGATGGTGCTGTCCTCGTCATCGACTGTGACTGTGCGCACATAACCCTCCCCTGGGCACAGAGCAGAGTGAGGCTCACACTGGGAAGATGGGTGCTGCAATTTACTTACAACTCAGTGGGATTGCCTCAGGCTCATTTCAAGGCTATATCATAATACTGCAACAGGGATGGCAGGTTTGCAGCATTAGAGTTTATTGCTGTTACTTTGACCCTCCTCTAAGCCTCATTTATGAGAGATGTTTTTGATGTGGTTACATAATATTTATTTTATACTTTGGGCATTTAAAGCACTTCACCAAGGAACTTTACATGCACTTATGACAAACATACTCACTGAAGGGAATTAAGCTTAAGTGTTTTGTCCAAGGACATAACTGCACAATATACTTTTGGTAACTGAATTGAGGTGGTTCAACTTCAATTTGGTCTTAGTCACTTCAAGATTTTGTTCCTGTTCTTCTTTGGCTGCTATTGGGGTATTGTTTAGAGTAATACATGTGGGCTTAACTGTAGCTCTATCAAAATCATGTAACTGTGTAATTATAACACATCTACAGGTTTCGTACCATCAGAATCCACAGACGCAGTCCTGTCCATGTCTCCTGCGAGGGCCATGGCAAGAGAGGACTTCCCCACCCCGTTCTGTCCGAGTAGAGCGATCCTCAGTGGGCCACAGCCGGACCTGCCCTCCACTGTGATGGTCAAAGTGTCGTCTAAGGCCGGGCTGAACTGGACCGGAGAGGCAGAGGGACCCGCTGCACCTGAGGCCCAGTCTGCGTCATCATGGACTGCTTCCTCACGTCTGAGCTGGTGCTTTATGGGCAGAGGGGTGCTTCCTCTACGGACAGTCGGGGTACTAGACAGAGTCATGCTCTCACACTGGGGAGGGAACAAGAAGAGACTCAACCAAACAGCAATACAACTGAAGCTCTATATGATATTTAAGACAAGCCCAAAGTGTAACTGGTTATGAAACCTGAAAACTACTAGATGGTAGGGGTGTGCAAAAATATCAAAATATGAATATATCGTATCGTTTAATGTGATGATACAGTATCAGTATCATGGGCTGCTGTATCGATATATCGTATTTTTTGGTAAATCAATATATTTACCAATATATTTACAGATATTGGTATTTTTTGGTATATTTTACTAAATTATTTTGTTACAGCGCTACAGTTTTGTTGCTTGTTTAGAGTTTATGACATTTTCACTGTTTTGATTATTAAAATGGGCGTGTTTCATATAAACTTTGCACAAGATGCGGCGTAACAAAGACTTTTAGTATCTCAGCCATGATTTAGCCATTATTTTTTATTGAATCATATCAAATCTATTTGAAATATATCATATCGAATCAAAAGTTCACTGTATCAAGATATGTTGTATTGGCAACTTCTTAATGATACCCAGCCCTACTAGATAGCCATGGCTATGTTTTTTCTCAACTTTTTGCTTAAACTAAGCAAGCTAACAACTCCAAAAAGTTGACTTGCGTTTAGACATATGGGTGTTCACCAACCTGGAATCTACATCTACCTCAGTGGATATAAGAAATACACTACAGGTGTGCCCCTGGGTGCCAGGATTCCCCAGTTAAAAGAGATTCTCAATCTCTGTGAGACTATCAGATAAAAAAGGTGCTTGATATGGGCAGCTTGTTAGGGAGGCATCGCTTAAGACACAAGCTGGCGGGCATTAGAGATGAAAGAAACACCTGACTTTAAATAATGAGCCCATGCCTGCATAGGAAAGAACAATAATTTCCATCTCCTAGCACATAAATCATATTTGCACAGTTGGTGTAAGCTCATTAGAAAGCTAAAGTACACTTTTTGACAAGTCATACAATCACAAGATCAGGGAATTCTAATAGTCTATTACATCACGACACATTTGTCATTTTGAGTAAAAAAATTAAAAAAAAGACATTTGCAGTGTGGTAAATTTGGATTCAGCGGGTTAATGAGTCATCTTCTTGCAAGGATTTTGTCATTCAGGAGGACACCCCCATTCCCTCCCCTGCAGCATGATTTCTCTTGAGACTATGATGGCACTATGGCATGCTTAATTTAAATCCTTCTCTCACATATATGCTATAAAGAAAAATGTCAGATATCGTCTGACCCTCAAGCCTTAATTAGACGAGCTCATACGATATTATCATAAATGTACAGTAAAATCTGTATGGGTATATTGACTAGTTTCTTCTGGGGTATTTGCCAACTGAAGAACTACTATAATGTCAAGTCTATATCTAGTCCTAACAAAACTATTAATACATTACTGAGTCTCTCACTAATATCACAGCACAACAGCGTGAGACACAGGTCAGACTCTTAATTGGACGCACAAGTCACGTAAAGCGGGTTAAGATACTGCGCTCTTTTTAAACCCTACCTTTGTCCTGTCCTCATTGGTGCTGAGTCTGTCTTCCTCTGGCACATCTGTCGGCATCTGAAAACTGAAATTGAGGAAGTGGTCCTCGTGAAAAATCCCACAGAGAAGAAGGGAAAAATTGAAAAAAGAAAAAAAAAAAGGGATGATCCACCCTCCCACACTTCACAGTCTATCAGCCCCACCCACTCACTTGGTGGACCCCAAACCGCCCGCCATGCTGGCTCACCTGTGGCGCGGCGCTCGGAAATACTCAAGTAAGCGACGGCTCTTATTCCACCGTCCCTCCTTCCTCTTCGCGCCCTTTCTCTCTCAGACTCTCTCTCTCTCTTAGTCACTCCCTTCTTTTCTAGTTTCCTCACATGATAGCTACATTTTATCTATCTATCCATTACTACATCCATCTTGGTCTTGTTTATGAGCCTTGTAGTTTGTCTTGGCTAATTTGACTTCTTTTGGGTTTGGCAATTAAGAAGAGTCTTGTCTAGATAACAAATCTTCAATAATGATAGTTTTATTAGAGAGAAAAGAACAAGAAACACCTGTAATACTTTATTTTTTACTTTTATTGCAGACACCGGATGGATGTTTTTGGAGTGAACTGATGGCAAGAGACTGTCCGTGTCACGAAACCCTCTGCCATGCCCTCAGTGACCACTAGGGCGCGGTATAACACCACCCTTCCTGTCACTAATTGGCTTTGTTTATGAGTAGAAAGATTGCCCTTCGAGGATAATTGTTATAATGTGCCTCTTGTGTATTCCTATAAAAATAGAAACCATTGCACGCACCTGCTTTGTTTGTCTGTCTAACTTTTTTCTTGTGTTTTGTTATAATATTTACAGCCCTTGTTGTAGCTCACTCATTTAGACTACATTTAATTTAATCAAGACTTTTCTGTTTGCAGCACCATTTGGGCATGTTTTCTGTCAGTATGTGAGTGTGGTCGTGAGCAGAGAGAGCAGCGCTGGTTGGGTCCCTCCCACACAAAGCTACAATAGACTCCGGCAGTGCGCAGCCTGGACGCTATTATAGCCCTAATCCTGGTCCATTATACCGGGCCAGAGAGAGACAGAGAGAGAGGGAGGTAAAGCTGGAGATGAGGTCATCCCAAACACCACACACCCAGGGTCACTGCCTCACTATAGAAGAGGGACACACAGATAATATGCAGGGAGCTAAGCATGGCGCTGCGTCGTGTGGTCAAAAAGCCAGCGGAAGACTAAAATTGTGAGGTTGACTGAATGGAAAAGACACAGAGGTTAAAACCTTTTTTACCAGGCTGAACAAAGCACTCAGGAGCCACATGGGGGTTGGTAAAGTACTGTTTATTTCATATACCACACTACAAGAGAAGCATCAGAGTGTCCATTGTGTAAATCTACCTACAATTGGTAATTCAACACTTGATAACCAACTGTAAGAATGTAAAAATACACCCGAGGAGTGAAATAAATCCAGTCCAATTATCAGAGTTGTACATAAACAAATAATAAATACTGAATAAATAAGTCAATAAATAAAAGAACAATGTACTGAACCTACACCCAAACAAAATAAATATCTCTATGTTTTAACCCTGGCAATGAGTTCATAGGACAGTCAAAAACTCTCCATGAAGAATGTATTTTTGCATTAGTTTCCCTGCATTCTCACATTGCATCAATAGCCCATAGTGTTCAGTCCACAGTGACCCGCCCTGTGGTGCTGCTCATTGCATATAGGTGATAATGCCACAGTTTGATATCCATGGACACAACCACCTAATTTTGCAATATGTGTCTCCTTTACCAGCAGTTGGCAGTAGTTGAGCGGACAACCATCTCCACTTCAAGCAAGTCACCACTTCCAACTAGTAAAAGGTACATTTTCAAGGTTTGTACAACACCAAATCAGTATCCTATCATTTATTTAGCACAATCACTGGAGGTCCCCTAAAAGAGGCCCTTATACATTCTTTTATCTATGATTATTCTTACAAAGAATAACAAATCCTGGTGAGCTTCAACATGTTTTTTGGTAGGCAACTGTGAAATGTTAGCTGGCAAATACAACTGCACGATGTGGATACAAGCCCAGATACCACCCCACATCAGCACCACTGCACCACTAAGACCTCAGAGCGTTAGCAGCTTATTGTAAAAACAAAACTACACTTTAAACCAGGCCTCTCATTTATAAGGCAAAACACTAAAGGGGAAAACCTCACTGAATTCACCTTAAGTGTGACGCCTTAACTGTAGAATTTCAAGTGCATTTCAAGTCTATATTGCATAGATGTTATGGATCATATAATGGACTAGTAAAACTGTATATCTGTGTTAAAACAAGATAAAGCCCTTTTAAAAGCATAGGATTGTCATCATTGCACAAGTATCGCAAGGAACCAAATGTGCAACCATCATTCACAGTTAAGTAAGTTCAATAAGCGGCCTATAGCCAAGTCTATCAGTCCATTGCTCAGAATAGTCACTCGGAGGTGGTTTTCACAGTTGTAACCTGCCAGTGTATCTTCTGGACAGACACACCCACTACCAGATTTTAATTATAGGTTGTATTCACATGCTAGCATCTAATTATGTTTTTCTAATGAAATATTTGAACCAGACAAAATAACCTAACCAGATTACTTTTCAATAGTCATTCCCAATGCATTTTGCTACCAGCTATTGTTTGAATAGGGAAAAAAAATCAGTAGGAGTAGTAAATTTGGCATTGACAGAAAAGATGTTCAGTCATGTCAGTTTTTGTTACATGTGGATTGGCTCATCACAGAAAAGGTATTTGCATTATGATGGTTAGAAAAGGAATTGTACTATAGATTTCAGACCTGCCCTCCACCTGAATAATAAACTATGATATTGTGTAGTCATGTGAAAACAACCTATTGGGTGAGTTGGCTGGTCTTGGCTCTGATCTTGTTCATTCTGATGGTGTGGGTTGAGCTCAGAGGAAGTAGTCCGGAGGCGGTGAGGGGGGGTTAGAGGGCCGGGTGGGCGGGGCGTCACTGTTGCCGGTGTGGGTGGTGCCCAGGAGCTTTTCGTAGCGAGCTTTGTAGGTGTCCCTTTCCCTCAGGACTCTGGTCAGCTCACACTGAAGCTGCTCCAACTGCAGAGGAAGATGTTTAGTTTGTGGCTTCCTGGTTTGTTGTAGAATGTATATGAATATATATAGTCTATGGGTAGGACCTACACCAAAAATGACTGGGTCAAATCGCAAAATGATAAAGCAAATATATCATATTTAAACATTTACTTGGCAACTGTCAGAGGCTGGATACTGAGACCAAAAACAGCAGTAAACAACTATACTATATAGCTGCATTAGTCATGACATGTTTACCTGCTGAAGAGGTCCTGTTATAGAGGATAGAATGTGCTTAATGGTTGTTTGAATGTCATGCCTTGTTAAAGAGCTTGTCCTTGGCCATAGGGGCTATATTAAGTACACAATCCCACTTGAAAGCTTAATATGAGGGTTATGATTAGGCCTGGAGTAAGAAACAGCTTCAAGGTAATAAGATGAAACATTAAGCATGTAAGCACTGAGAGGTATGAGAAGTATGTTTACCACTGAAAACTTGAATTGTATTTATAAAAATGTGTAGTAATGAGGTCAAATGTTTAGTTTCGATTTGGATACATGTTACTGTTTTTGTCCAAGAGATTATTTAAAATTTAAATGTTGCCACACAATTTGGAAATAGAGGGTACAACTTCACCTCTGTGACTTTGTAATGTTTAATTGAGAAGTGTGAGTACAATTATTTTAGTTTTCTTTCTTCTGGTTGGTTGTTAATAGCATCAGTGTGGACAAAATTGGGCAATTGTTCTTTTGGGTACTTGTTTTGACAGAAATCAGATTCAGGCTACTCAGAGCTGTTCCTACAAATCAGCATTTTCTATAATATGAATTGGCAAAAAGTTACACCTGTTTTTTTGGGGGTTTTTTTTTGCGTACACCTTACTTGTTTTTGTTTTCTTAGCAATAGGACTCTACTACATAGTGTTTTACCTGTTGTGTGAGCACATGTTTCTCCGACTCCAGTGCGTGCCTGTGCTGTAGGCGTTTGTAGCGGCAGGACTGAGCGTAACCGCGGTTCTTGAGTGTGCGTCGCTTCTGTTTGAGTCTCACCACCTCCTCTTTACTGACGCCTCGCAGGTGACGGTTCAACTCCCGCACCGACAAACTCACCAGCTGCTCATCAGAGAAGCGCTCGTTCACCCCGCACTGAGAACAGATGGGGACACAGGCGGAGAATATGCTGTTATTTGTTAATGGTGGATGTGACAAGCAAAATGACAGGCCCCCTGGTATTAACATGAAGGCAGTGATTTAAAAGTGGTATTTTTGTGTTTTGTTTTGTTTTTGTTTTTACATAATTGCATCATTGCATCCACTTACAAGAAGTTGGGTCTTAGCTGATGTTTTTGTTGAGTTATTTATATATTCTTGTTTTTGTATACCACCTGTTTTTTACCAATATTTTGTTGATTTGGGTGCATTTATTTAAATTTTTATGGCCAAAAACATTTCCCATTCTATTGTGCTGTTAGTGGTCAGAACTTTTAAGGGAATGATTAGTTTCCAGAAGTGGCATAGTGAGCTGAGTGTTTTGGTCGATAGTTGATTCAAAGTTCTGTTGCTGTGTCCCTGGGCAAAACACCATATAGTGATTCTTTTAGTTGTTTTTGCATAGTCAATGACTGTACTTTGCATTATTTATTCACTCCTCACATTCACTATCGGTATGCTGCTCCCGTAGACACAGAAGCCCTGAGGCTGCCTGACTGCCAATCTGATCTAATGGCATCTCTAATCACCACTTACTACTCGCTCATATATCACATTCCTGTATATGCAAGTTAGATGAAGTGTCAAGAAAACAATCACAGTATGCACTGGCCAACGCTGGGAATGAACCACCAACCATCTGAGCCACTGTCACCCATGATGTTTTCTCTGACAGGCCTAAAACAAAGCTACCTGGGCAAAGTTTTGTCACTTAGTTTAGAACCAATCTCTTCTGTTTATTTGTTTACTTGATTTTAGATTTGATTGGTTGGTATTGACAGGCATTAGATTGTAGATAGACAGCCTAATGAAGTAGTAGGAGGTGATGTTATCCAATAGCTCTCATAGGCCTACATGTAGTGAATGTTGTACTTGTGATTTATCATATGGGACGTGTGAGGTTGTCCGTGTGTCAGGGGCCACATTGGAACACCACATGTCCATAATCTGAGCTGTAATCTGACTAAGTGTGGGTGACAGTTATCAGGATTACACACAGCAATAATAGCAGATATTATCATAATCTTATCCAGTGTTCATACTGTGAGCAGACATCCCATTGTCCCCAACACTATTCAAAATGTTTAATTAAAACTGTACAAAAGGCTCCCAAGAGAGAGACAATTGTACAAGAATTAAAAATGCACTTTGTTAGAAGAGCGTTGGTGAGGTAATGGTTTTATTAATTATATATCAATTTGCTTCAAAGATTAATGTCCGACAATGTAACTAATCCCAAGAACCCGGTTGAATTATGTTCCAATAAACTTTCATTAATTCCACAAAGAGGACATTACATTTTCAAATATTATCTCATCTAATGTATTTTAATTGAGTGTATAATGGTTTAATTTCTTTAGATGAAATTACACAACACGTTGTTGCCAAGTAATATTTTAAAAGCCTCTAATCCTCTTTTGCCATTTTCTCTGTGCTACTGAAATGTATTTAATGTATTTAATTTGGTTGGCATTGTTGTTGGTTCATTTGTTTGTGTCTTACCTGGCTGACCTGCGGATGATGTTGATGGTGCATGGGGTGGTGTGGGTGGTGCTGGTGATGGTGAAGCCTGCCCTGTGGACTGAGTGGCTGGGGGTATGGCCCTGACCCGGGACCTGCCCCGCTGAGGGACTGAGGGGTGGAAGAGAGGAACACCAGCGGGCGGTGGCACATGTCACCCGCTTTACCACACGACATGTCCGCCCCACTGTCACTACTCGAGTCGCCCATGTTACTGCTGGAGCTCTGAGACAGACCCGGGAACTGAAACACAAACACACACTCAGTCTTGTATAGTTATTTTATTGACAGTAACTGTACTATGTTTAGTTTTACACACATTTAGCTTTATGTGTCAAGGCCATTGGCAACAGTGTTTATTTATCATAAATGTGTTAAACAGAATTTAGGTATTACACTTAGTGAGGTACTGAATTCTTGCCAAGTAATGAAAAATTATGGAAAACCAAGACCAAAACTTGGTAAATATCAGCTTAGAGCATTTTTCTATGTGCTTTACTCTTTTAAATGGTTGAACCTGGAACTCTGAAGTGAAATAGTAACCCTTTGTGTCATCGTTCTCAGGGCATTTACCTGTGAGCTGACAGCTGCAGCAGCTGAGTTTAGCAGAGCCTCCACAGCGTCCTCACATCCCAGAAACCCATTGACAGGCCCCCGCTCCCTGTCCCCTCGCTCCGGGACTCCCCCCAGGGCCCCAAGCAGGGTGGCTGGTCCTGTCACCTCTCCTCCAAACTGCTGCTGCAGCGCGGCCAGCCAGATGAGGTCCTCCAGAGAGGCCGGAGTGGGTCCCTGAGCCCCCACATGGGACGGGCTGCCCTCCACAGTGCCCTGAGCGCCTGAGCCCAGCCCTGAGGAGAAGCCACTGGACAGGGACAGAGGGAAGGAGATGGAGGAGGATGAAGAGGACATAGAGGAGGCCCCAGAAGGGGGTGGGTGGGCATCACTCAATGTGGGCGAGGGGGGCAGAGAGTTGTATGGGCTAGAACTGAGACTGGAGTCCTGTGGAGGGTGTCCTGTGTATGGTGAACTGGAGGGGTCATGGGACAAGCCTGACTTTGAGTAGGAGCATTGAGAAGGCAGAGGAGGAGTGTCCGATTTCACCTCAAACTTGAGGAGGTCAAAGTCGTTGAGGTACTCCATTGCCAGAGGGCTAGGGGGCAGAGAGGGCATGGGCAGTGAGGGGGACGACATGATGCCTGTTCTGGAGCTTAGTCAGGGCTGGTCCTGGCTCAGGGTCGACAGCAGGTCCACTGCTCCTCCTCGGTGCGGCTCATAGACACTCTGATCCCTGCCTGTGTCCTGGGCTCCTCTTTCCTAAAGCTGAACAAAGAGAGTTCAATTTATGTAGAAAAATAAATAATAATGGTAACGTGACACTGGCTGTTTAGAAGGGGGTTGACATATTCAACAAGAAACTATTATGTTCTTGTACTTGTGGCTTAACATGTTGCAGTGTACAGAAATCTGTATCTTTTCATTAATCTTTACTAAAATAGTCATAGTACTGGTACAGAGATTAATTATTACATCGTTAATTTGTGACAATATACATGTATTTTGGGACACACACACAGCTCATCCCCCACTGTCCGTCCACGTGCCTTTGGATAACACACGACAATCACCTCTATGAGCATGCCCAACACAGGAGCAGACAATGCCCCGCCAGCTCACAAAATCTACTTACAGCAAATTAAGGCCTCTTTTACTACTATGGAAGAGGCTTCAGTACATCTAACTGTCATAGTCATATTGCTATTTCATGAATTTAAGATTTATGGATTTTTAGACCATTTTATTTTCTATTAAACTTTCTATTGCTATTATACGGGACATGATGTTTATACCTCCGTCTGTCTGATTTGTTGTAAAAAATAAAAAAAACAATTATACCATAATCTTACATTTCAGTGTACCAGTTGGCAGATTTAGCTTTAAAAAAAAAAAAAATCTTCAAATCTTTTGTTCTACATGTCATTAGCTTGTATGAAACTCATAGAGTAACTAGCACGGGCAATAAAGAGAGATAGTATCATCATAATAAAGAAGATTATAGATATTATACCTTTAGTCTGATAGTAAGATAACTAAAACATTACAAAATGAATATTCGGTTATAACATTTCACTTTAGTTGTAACATTGTATGTCTTTTATGTCACCACCTTTACTCTGTAATGCAGATGAAACACTTTGAACAAAACTTAACAAACTATAAGTTGTCACAAGATAAAACTGTGTTTTTTAGAACCATAGGATTTTTACTGTGTGAACTACATCAAAGAAAGACGTCGAAGCGCCGAGTGGTTTCGCCCGACAATACTAATTACATCCTTTCACGTTTAATAGTTATCATTAAGAGAAGCTTGTAATTAAAAATCCACCTTTGACTATAGTGGCCCAGCTTGGCCTCTGCTCATTAGTTTTGCCCCCTGTCGTTTCAAATGGATTGAAAAAAGAAAAGCAAACAGTGACAGGGCAGCGGTGGAGGCCTCAGTCTGGACCAGGCAAAAAGCCAATCCCTAAAATGCCACACTCAGAAAGACGTGAGACCAGGGGACTCAGATAAAGTTAGTAAAGTAAAAAAAATCTCTTACCGTTTGTCATAAAGGTGGAGTTTGGTGGTGGTTGGGGTCCAGTTGAACACCCCTCACACACTTTGGACTAAAGTACGGTTGGCCTGATACAGAGGAAGGCTGCTGTGTGTCTGTGAGAGTGCAGCTCTGAGTACCACTGCCCCCTCTGTACAAATCCCCTGAGCACACCCGCACCCCTCTCCCCCCTCCTCCCCCCTCGTCCCATGGTCCACAGGCATGTCCACCAACAATGTCCTGACCTGTCGTATCCCCATTAACTAGTATGTTTCTGTCTGAATGCTATTTGTCACGTTTTGTTTTGATACATTATAGTCTCCACATTTCATAGTCATATTTGGATAAATAATAATGTACATACAGACATAAAGAAGAATCAGTCTGCACCTGATACACACACATCTATATATTCAAATAGATTATGAAATGTATAAAAAAATATAAATGAATGCAACATATATATATATATATATATATATATATATATATATATATATTTATTTATATATATTATGTAAATGTGTATGTATATATATATATATATATATATATTGTGTGTGTTTGTGTGTGTATATATATATATAATATATATACACATATTCATATATATGTATATATATATATATATACACATATTCATATATATGTATATATATATAGATAGATAGATAGATAGATATATGTATAGATATAGATATAGATGTAGAAAAAGAAAATTTTAAACTGAATCACTGAGACTTTGTAGAGATTTTTTTGTTTTGTTTAGTTTAGTAGCTGGTTTTTGATTCATAGTAAATCAGTTTATATTTCTCTTTCAAACAATATATTTCAAATTTTATTTCCATCTGTGCTTTTTTTGTATTTTAATGCTCAAGACTGACATTTTCTGGCAATACAATTTATGTCAAACTCTTCGTGTTCAGCCCAGAACAAAATGTAAAATATGTCCCACATTATAATTCATAAATGTTCGTTATCTTAACACTAACCTCCTAAATGTGAACTCTGCACATGCTACCTGTTAGTCGTGATTTCTTTGAGTTGTTTACTTGCACATGTCACCTCTAACACTCCTCACTGTTTGTTTATGTTGCCAGTCGAGCAGCTCCTGTGCGTTGGCTGTCGTCCTCACTCAGCATCACAGTGGGTGTATTAAATCTGTTTTTAAGTCCAACAGAGAATCGCATAACAAGCACTTCTCAATGCTCCTTAAAAGCTAAACTTGTTAATCTCTTTGTGTCTTAATGGTGTCTCGTTGAGGAATCAGTGAGTTAAGAAATCTGATCTAAGGTGCAAACAAAACCTTTAACCCGCTGACTCAAACAAATATTTAAGGAATAATGTCTCAAACTGGATTTTAAAGATGATTTTGATAAACTGTGTAAAGGTATTGACCAGATTGATGAGAAAAAGGTGTAGCAATTGTCCATCATATACAACATACAAGGAGACTGCATTCTCCTGTCAAAAAGGAACTGATCCTATCTTGACACATTCAGTACTAGATGGGACAAGATCTTGTGAGAAATAAAATTGCCAAGATTGGGCGCACATGAAGAGAGAAGAGGATTTTTCTTCCAACTGTTAACAAATGGATCGGGCAAAAAGGCAGTGCTACAGTAGCTGACAAAATCAAATGAAATATGGAATAAAATAAATTGAGGATAGAATGAGGCCAGCACAATAAATTATGTAAAAAATGTGTATCAGTCTTGTGGACCCAATGTCATGTCTTGTCTTGTGGGTGTTATGTGTTCTCCCTCTATTAAATACATGTTAGGAATTACACTCAAAATTGCAACGTTACACTCAAAGTTGCAACAGAACCCTTATAATTTTTTTCCTTACTCAAACGTTTTTTAGAGTTATTTATAATTATATTTTTATTACATATTTCCAAAAGGTGCAGAATTCCTCCAGAGTTACAGATTTTAAATTTTAATTGTATGGTTTACTTTAATATTTTAGTCAAAGTGATACAATTTTGACTCAAGCATCTCTTTTTAAATATAATCTGCCCCAGGTTCACAGTTGCTGTCAAAACATTCAAATAAGATGAAGACTGACTGGGAATTATTATAAGTAGTTATATTTAAACTTATGTCATATTGAATATTTCATATATAGTATGTGTATAGTAAAATACACTCCAATGCTCATTTACACATTTAGGGGGTATTCAGATTACCATCTTATCTGGACAGTTTCCTCCCTTTAGAGATACTTATTGACCTCATTTCTTTAACATGTTCTAGTCTTTTTCTCTTCCTGTCTTTTTTAGACCTCTCTATCTCTGGGCCCATCGTTGGTGTGTCCGGGGGAAAGCTTAGGGGCTAAACTAACAGGGCCTCCCGTGAGCGTCAGGACAAAGGGGGGCAGACACACAGAGGAACTTACCTCATGCTCCACAGCCTGCACCCCTCCAGCCATTGTCCTGCAGCAGCCAGTGGTCCAGCCCACTGCACCTTACTCTCAGGTGGGACCTCCCATTGGCTGTCATTCAACAGGAGCATAATTAGTGATATGATCTGATTAGAAAAATGACAAGAGGCACTGAAGTACCGCCTAAATACTACTATTCATTTGCAATGAGATTGTGTTGGCCACTTCCTTGGCCAAATCTCTGTAGTAAAGAGTTTCTGAATCTCAGTGGGACGTCCTGATTAAATAAAGGTAAAATTAAAAAATATATTAATAAAATTAAATGTGGTGCAACTTCTGCTACAATTAGTAAAAACAAATGTACAGTAAGAAAGAGTTTTTAGAGTAACAGACCACTTAAAGCTACCATCTGCAAGTTTATTGATTGTTTTTTTTTTTAACCAGTAGATGGCAAATGTTTGTTTTAACGTGGATTAGTCCAGTAATTACAGACATACAGAGATGTAACAATTTGATTTTTAAAGAGTCAATTGTACTCTGACTTCCAGCTCAGTTGTAAATTACATTGTATGGGCAGGTGACCTATTTCCAGATCCAGGGAGTCAGGTTTTGGGACATCCCAACAGATGGTGTGAGGTGAGGTCTGAGGGGTCGCACTAACTACCCTTATCCCACAGATACATGTCCTAATCTGTTGTAACTCTGCAGGCTTACCTCCCTCACTCTTACACTGCAGCCTCTAATCAGAGCCAAGTGCAAATGCAATTATCTGTTTCTGCTCGCTGCTGTCTGTCTGTGAGTAATCTCATTCATCAACACGACGCAAGACAAATGAAACATTTACTAACAATGAAAAGAGCAACAACAAACTGGGAGGAAATCACTGCTTAGGGATTGGCAAAGCAGAGTAAATTAAGAGGTTTCTTTGTCACTGCAATGAAGAGACAAATACCAGCACTACATATGAAGTATCTAACACCTATACTTTAGAAATCAATTCAAAAGATCTAAAAAAAAAAATCTGAAAAAAAACTATATGTTGTTAAAAAAAAACAAAAAAAGAACATAACATAACATTTCTAGTGGACGGGCTGTATCCTGCTTGTCAAATTTTCCTGCAAATGTTGTTCAGTATGGCTTTAATTTAGCATAATATTAAATGATAAATGTTTGTACTGCCCAAAATACCATGCATACACACAGTTTATTAGCTTCT